TAAATAAATAATAAAATAGAACCTTACATATTTTTTTTAATCTATGTGAAATATATCAAAATAATGCATTTTAATAAAACAAAAAAAGACGTTATTTACCAAAATATATTTATACATTTACATGTTTTTTATATTATTATTTGTTATAGGTTCAATCATTAGTTTTTTCATGTGGACTTTAATCTCAAATACTCCTCCGTACGAAGCTAAAATCTAACACCCCTCATATAATCCGACTGCCCCTCTCACCATGAAATTGACATTTTATCCTTCGTTAAAAGAAAAAAAAAATCAGAAAAGAAAAAGAAAAAGCAGCAGCAGTTTGGTAAGAAATTTAATTGAAACCAATCCTATAATTTAATTTTCTAAACCAACCAAACCAACCAAAATTTAATTATATTGCTCTCATGTCTTTTCTTCCTCTCACATTTCCACCATTGACGAAATTGGAGTTGTGAAATTGAAGGTTAGTTGTTGTTGTTTCTTATACTATTTTCAATTTCATGATTGAATTATCAATTTTATGTCATAGACAAAGCAATTAATACATAGTTTCTTTTTAATTAAGGAATTTCAAAGTAAAGGAAATTTTGATTTTTTTTTTTTTGCTCATTGGAATCACTGAGCTAGTTGGATAAGGCTATTGGAAAATGGTATTGTTAATTAAATGAGATATCTTGGTTAACTGAGCAATGAATCGTGATGATTCGTATGATGAACCAAACTTTCTGGGTACCACTGGGTACAACTGGACATATTAAGTGAATTATTACGACTAGAAAAACTGGTATAACTATGATAAGATGACTTACAATTATTTTGTTCTTTTCAGGGGAGATGAGTAAGAGTGGTTGCACATTCCTATATTTTGATTATGAGAGATTCTATTCAAAAGATGGTAATAAAATTATATGGAATTCTGGAGAAGATGAGATTCACACTTTAGTGATGAGGAAATCTTAGGAGGATGTCACTTATGTTCGATTAGTGGAGGAAATTTGCAGAAAAGTTTTGACAGATGCAACTACATCTCAGCTGAAAATTAGTTACTATCCACTAGTACAACTCTATATTCCGTGTCTAATATGTCTGGTACGACTGGTGCGACTAGTACCACTCGTTTTAAGTACAACTAGTTCAACTACATTTTAGTTGTACTCAAGTCCAACTGGGAAAACCAGTACGACTATGCTTTCAACAAAAATGCCAATAACATAATTTCTAAACGTATTTGTAAACATATTTCCATATAAAATAGGCCATAAAACATGTGCAAACATATTTGAACTTTTCATAGTTAAATAAATTTGATCCATGAAAATGTGATGTCTACACAATCTACCTTATACTTTTAAGGTTACTTTGAAAATCTTAACCACACAAACATGAAAACCATATACGTTTGTATTTTTATACAAGTTATAACATTAGAATATGTTAAATGTAGTTTATTTACTAATTTTCACAAGTACAACTAAAAAGTTTAATTTAGGATATGGTACTACTGATTAAAATTTTTTACCATCACAATATAACTTTATGTATTTAGGGTACAACTAATAATTGGGTACGGCTATGTTATAAAAAATTGGATTCAATCTTTGTTTTGACGGTGCAAGTGGTCATTTTTTATTCATTTCCTCTTTTGTCGATGCACATGACTTCATATTTTATCCGTTTTAAACTTCCTGCCACACGTTTTTTTTTGCTGCCACACGTTTTTTAAATTCAGTTCTAGTTGGTCTAGTTCTGCTAGTTGTACCTTTTAATTCAACACATAAAAAAAGACTTGCATAAAATATATATGTCCAAATCCTGAAAAACATAAAGACAAATTCTAACATATCACACAACATAAGTTCAAAGGCCTAAGTTCTTACATAATAACAAAAGGGTCATTCACCAAACCTGAACGATTCAACTTCCTTTTTGGCTTTGGAGTCTTACTCCTTTTAAGCTTCTTAATCAATTTATTTGCTGCTTGGGCTTGAAGACTAGGTTGTTTGTTGATTTTCACCTTCGTAGGAGTTTAGACTGTATCCGCATCGTCTCCACCTAACAAAAATAAACCAAAATCGATGAAACTCATTATATCGAAAATAAACCAAAATCGCTGACCTAGTTATACTATTCATAAGATTTGAACCCAATTCTATCTCAGACTCGACATTTCATGCAATCTAAAATGATCGTACTACTTGTTCTAGTTGACCTACTTAGACTAGTTAAACTAATTAGACTAGTTATATTAACCGTTCTAGTTGAACTACTCATACTAGTCAGACTAGTTGAACCAAGTTATACTAGCCATTGTACAACAAAATTTAAGGTTTACCGATGGTGGTTGCGACGACGAACCGGTTGCCGGTTCTGGAATCGGAGGCGGGCTGGTTGCCGGTTGCACCGTCGGAGCCACAATAGTTCCTTCTTCTCGTTCAGTCATCGGAGGCGGACTTTCTTCTGCTGGTTCAGTCACCAGAGCCGCCGGAGGCGGAGCACTGGACTTTGATTTCTTCTGCGACTTTTTCTCTTTTCCTCGCGGTGCCTCCGGACGCTTCTCCCCCTTTCTTTTCTTCTTCGCCGACGGATTTGAACTCGACAGCAGCGGATTTTCTTCTTCTCGTTCAGTCACCGAATCTGCCGGAGGTGGAGGCGGAGCACTGGAATTTCTGTCGTTTGATTTTGATTTCTTCTGCGACTTCTTCTGTGGTGCCGCCGGACGCTTCTCCGTCGCTGTTTTCTTCTTCGCTGGCGGATTTGAACTCGACGGCGGTGGTGATGAAGTATGATTTGGTGAAGACGTTCTCAACCGAACCCCTCTCCTACGCGGCGACATAATCAAAAAATTAGAGTCGGCGGATGGCGGTTTCTCGGAGGTGCGATGTCGGCGACGAGTGTTTGATCGGTTTGTGTTTTGATTGTGGTGGAGAGAGGGACCGCTTCGATCATGGTGGTGGAGAAGATGAAAAGTTAACTTTGATCGAAAATTAGGGATTTGATAGAGAAAGAAGTTGTTTTTGGATTCTGTTTGGATCGGAGTTTGAGTTTGGGTTTGAGCCGGATTTAAATTTAAGTTTGAGCCAAAACCCAATTAATTATTATTAGGTTGGTTCGTAATTTAGAAGATTTATCATACCCTCGTTGTCTTTTCACACGTTTTCCTTTAAAATATAAATGAAAAAGAAAATAAATTTTATAAGAAAAGCATTTGAGATTTTGTTAGCATACGGAAGAGCATTTGAGATTAGAGTCATGAGTTTTTATGTTCGATACTTTTCCGAATATAAATTTGGTTCTTGTTCTAAAATTTATGTTTGATTCCAGCATGATCTATTGTTGCAATTTGATACATGTTTTTATCGATGAAATAAGGTGTTTTCGTTCAAAATTCAACAATCACACATTTCTTTTTGATTAATATGATGCTAATAATTTCCAGAATTTTATGTGCACTGTAGTACATGGGCGGATTTATATAGGAGTCTATTTAATTGGGGACACATACATATTTTTAAGTATAACTAATTTTGGATTAGATAAATCTTACCCTAATTAGTAAAGAAAATTGAAGATTTAGACGGGGCACGTCCACGTCCGTGCCATACCGTGAAAAGTAAACTAAAAACGAACATAGGTCAGAGGAATTGAGGAAGGAATGTTGGTCTGATTAGATACTTGTTAGCACGTACTTAATCATGGTGTTCTCTGGCATTACTGTTGCCAGCTATTAACAACACGTGCTAATTCTAAATAATGATCATTATATTTAATCACTGAATGAGATTCAACCAGGAAATATCTCAATCCCACCGTCCCACGTCAAGTGGTAATATATAAGTCATCCGATTTCGGTATAGATTTGTAATATATAAGTCCTCCGATTTCGGTATAGATTTATTAAAAAGCCCTAGTTAAAGCACTAAATACGAAAAGCTAAAAAATAAGAAGAAAAGACATAATTGTTAGAGATGAGATTTGTACAATCTCTACAAGTCTGATATGAATTCTGGTCAGCTCACTTCGCAGGACTCAGGTCTGTTGAATAAATGGAAATCTTCCATTTATCCAACAAACCCGGAAAAAAAAGGAAGTTAAGTCTTGTCGGCAATAAGACTTTCCTATTCTATACCTACATAAAGACCGACCTGATCGGCTATAAATACGGAATATCCTCGATCATTCAAGATCATCCAAAATACTTTTTCGAGACCTAGGGCAAATTAAACAATCTGATTGTTCTTAGCTCTCGATTCACTTTCCTTAAGAAGTCTAGGTCGGCGTTCTTATCTGACGACCTACACTCTCTTGTATCTCAAGCTCCGGCTTAACTTAATAAAAATTTCTCTTTAAACCCACAAACCATAATTCTCTTTTAAAAATCGAACTTGAGTTTTTACAGTTCACAAACCCTAGTTCTCTTTTAAAAGTCGAACTTGAGTTTTTACAATAATATTTGTTTAAACTAAAATATTTATAACTACTAATTTTTTAAGTAGTTTTTAAATTTAAATCTGAGCATTTATCAACCTCAATACAAGAATATATGCAACATGATCTAATGATAGTTCAGTAATTATTATTTTATTGGTTAAAGTTGCATATAATTTTACACTTGATTTGTAAACTTTATGTTAGTTTGGATTTCGGCAAATAATCTGTCGATCTTAACCGATATTAGATTGGCGATATCACATGAAAAGTCTTTAAAACAGCGTGTTGCATAACCACAAAGAACAAATATACTCTTCTTTTTATTCCGTCTGTGATTAAGTTATATTTACTAATACAATGGTTATTACATTGCATGTTACATGTAACGACTAACGATCCTTGAAACTAATATGAGTTATATACTTGACAGTTAATTTGTAAGATCAATGATTTCATAATATACTAATATCAATCCCTCACATTATTATGTACATGTCGTTGCCACTCGTCAATTTGCATTTAAAAATACACAAACCAGTCTCAACCTTCGCCTATAAGAACCGTAACATTCTCTCCTTGTTCTTCACACAGCACATCACAAGCTTGATAAAGAGAGAGTTTCTAGGGTTTTTCTTATATATTTTGATAAGACAAAATCTTATTAAACTTAACTTCTTTATCAATGGCTTATTCTAAGATTGCTATTCTCCTTATCTTCAATGTCATCTTCTTCACTTTGGTCAGCTCCACTTACGTTCCTAGCCCACCACCACCGTACAAGAAGCCCTCACCGTCGTCTCCTTACCCCACTTGTAAAAACGCTTTAAAACTTAAGGTATGTGCTAATGTCTTGGATTTGGTTAAAGTTTCTCTACCATCATCCTCCAAATGTTGCAGCCTTATCAACGGTTTAGTTGATCTTGAGGCTGCGGTCTGTCTTTGCACTGCCCTAAAGGCTAACCTCCTCGGAATCAAGCTAAATGTTCCCATTTCGTTGAGTGCTATCCTAAACCATTGTGGCAAGAAAGTTCCATCTGGTTACCAATGTGCCTAGAGATCCCATTTTGTTATTTTCTCTTTTAAATCTTCAATCTTATCCCTAATGTATTGTTTTCTGTATTTTCTTTATATTTTCTTATCATCGTTTCCAATTGTGTTTTTTGTTTATCAATGAAATAAGGTGTTTTCGTTCAAAAATAACTACCGCATATTCTTTATTATTTTGGATTAATAGATGCTTATAGTTCCTAGATTTTGTGTGCTTCATAAAATCATCCCTTGGTAATTAAATTTGACAAGTACACGAAATAAAATAGAACCTGCGAATGTTGGTCTAGTTACATCAATATTATCACGGACATAATCATGGTATACTCAGTCACCGCCAGATATTAACAATTTAATTCTAAAATATGCTAATTCTAAGAATTAAAGAGCATGATTTTTAATCATTGAATGAGACTCAGCCAACAATTATTTCAATCCCACAACAAATGTAGTATGCTTGACTAAAGTGGCATTATACATCGTCCTATTTGGATATGATATAAAATTATCAAAAAGACCAAAGCATTAAATATGAAAAGCACTTACACTTTTACAAAGTTGAATAATAAATTAAGTCATTCAGAAAGGAAGATACACTTTAATCATACTAAATGACCGTTTTATCTTTTGTATGTAAGCTTAAATATCCAGCACCCACAGATCATGTGGATAAAACTTCATAGATAACTATAATATTTTGTTATCAATTTTTATGGATGAACCTTCGTGCACAACTTCATATATATATTGGAGTGGTTTGAGATCGATGAAGCTCATTTTCACATGGATGACTTTTTATGGACCATTAAATATGTATTGTTTAAATCTGTCTATCTATTTTGCATATCTTCCGTAGATAAACCTTCGTAGATAATTAAATATGATTTTGTATATCTATTTTATACGTCTTTTATGGATGATTTCTGTGAAACATGTATACTATAACATATGAACATATTTACACAGATATAAAATCATTGACAGCGTAAATCGTTAGAATATTCTGATCATATGGATGAACATCTTTGGACAACTGTAAATAGAGAGAAACATAAAACTCGGATTAACATATTTTCAACAGTGGACAAAAATATATCTTCCCTACAAAGTGCTTTTCTTTTATAACAAAAACTCATATAAGTGCATTTTTGTGTAAGTCTCTCAAAAAAATGGTAGCATATTAATTTCAAATAAGGCAAAAAATTTCAAGGAGTCAAACCAAGTAGAAAGTCAGTATTCGAACCAGTTACGCATTTTGTTTATCTGAAAATCGGTTCGACCGATAATGCGGTTCAGAAAGTGAAAATCAAAATACCTAGGTGGTCTTGACTTCAAGTCTTAAATGCATTTTCCACAGTTTTGTAAAGATTGTCATTTTACATTTTCAACACAAAATTTAAGATAAGAATTTAATTTTAACTTTACTAATTTAATATTTTATTTACAAACAATTTTATTTAGTATAAAAACAAATAATAAAAACAAAACTTTTAAAAAAATTTTAATCTGTATAAAATATATCAAACTAACGCTTCTTAATAACAAAAAAAAAATATTTTATTTACCCAAATATATTTATACATTTACATGATTTGTATATTGTTTTTTTATGGGCTCAATCATTACTTTTTCATGTTTGATACTTTTTTGAATATACTATAATATAGCATAAAAATTACCAATGCATTCATAATAAATTACCGAAATATGTATATACTATATATAGTTTTATTGGTCGATTCTGATTGGTAAACCATGCAGAATAGCGGAATTCGGAAAAACATGATTCCGTAAGAATTTTGTCAATCAGAAAAATTTGCAGAAAACGCCAAAACTCGAATGCTGCAGAATGACGGAAATACTTACAAAAAATACAAAAAAAACTTGATGAAGTGAAAAAATATGTTTTAGGTAGATTATTTGCGAAATCAAATATGTATAATGATCAGATTATATCTATAGATTTAATTTTGTAATATATTTATATATTTTAGTAAATAAAAATAAATAATTATAATAAAAGTTTTAATTTTTCCTAATTATATTAAAATTATGTTTAATAATTAATATTTTAATTTTTATGATATAAAATATATTATTATGAAAATTTAATATGATATATTTTATGTCATTCCACCATTTCGCTATTCCGCACAATTTATGCAGTCATACCAAAAGTAATTATTCTGCTATTTTGCATTATGTCATTCCACAGCTTAATTTTTTTTCGTCATTCTGCAATTCCATAATAAAAGAATATGTTACCGATCGAAGCCTATAAAGCTATAAACATCGATTTACACTGAACATTCATAATAAATTAGCAAAGCATTAAATACGAAAAGCCAAAATTACATCAATACATGTTTTTATCGATGTTTTATCGATGAAATAAGGTGTTCAAAATTTAACAATCACATTAACTTTTTATAATTTCTGATTAATAAGATGCTTATAATTTCTAGAATTTTATGTGCATTGTAGTATATGGGTGGATCTAGGAGTCTATTTAGTTGGGGACACATACCTATCTTTTAGTTAGAGATGTCAGTAATATCCGCAGCCCGTGGGCCGTTCATGCGGAGCGGGCTAGGGCTTAAAAAAATTATCTTCCAGAATAGCAGGCCTATCGGGTCAAACCCGTGCGGGTTAACCCGCTGCAATTTTGCGGGTAACGCGGACACATCTGCAAATTTCTTCATCTCCTTCGCCATTGATCCATCTTTTTCAATTTCTTCTGTGATTTAGCTTCCTCAATCTCTTTCGTCAGCGATTCCTCCATTGTTGATGTCGATCTACTCTGATTTCATATTGATTTTTTCTCAAGATGGCGATTAATCGGAAATTAGAGTGTATCGACATTGGACATTCCACTCTATCTTAGCTTCAAATCCTAGCAAATACACATATGAAGCTTTTGAATACATGTATTTAACTTTTAATTTTAAATCAGTTGTTCAATCAAAGTCTGATAAAAGTCCGGTGACTGTTGCTGATTATGGTTAGTTTTTCTATTTGAATTGTTACTAACACTGAAATGTAATCACATCATAGCCAATGGTTTCTGAACAAGTAAACTGTCTTTGTTTTGAGTTTCAGATTCACAAGCAGTTGTTAGTTTACTCTTAGAAAGAGAACTCAATTCTGAACCCTTTTCACTGGTGGCCGAAGAGGTGAAACAGCTTAATAAACACAGAAACAATACTTATCTTGAGGTTTTTTTATGTTTCAGGATTCACATTGTCTTAAAGCTGTATGTTTCTTGTGCTTGCTTGTCCAAACTTGCCGTTAGCTTCCAAAATCGAACTGTTGAATGTGGTGCATTGTTGAATGTTTTATGTTCCTTCTGACTTTGTGAGAAATGGCGTAATTTTGTTGAGAGCTTTAGTTTCATATCACTTATCTCCTTAGGTCACTTTGGTTTGATGTCACTTATCTCCTTAGGTCATCAGGCGTTTACATGAGTGCTTGCGGTTTCTTTGACCTTGTGGTGTTTTATAACATGTATTTTGTTCTTCCCTGTGAGAATTTTCCTGAGACATCACTTGGATTTCCAAGTATGACTACACATTCAGGTTCTTAATGTGTGGAATCTTCTTATGTCATCAGAGGTGTTTATAAGTGCACTAGATTTTGTTGGCTTAGTAGTGTATACCAATCATTACATCAGCACCACTGACAGCTAATTTTTAATCGATAGAGATGTAACTTTGACGCATAAAGCTGAAGCCTTGGAGTTGCAGAGGCAGCTAAGGCATTTCCTTTCGGTATTTTTATGTGATTTAGATGAATGGAGTTCTATGAAGATTGGCTTCCACTTCTAAAGAGCTGGCTCATTATCATTCTGGTGAAGGTGTCCTTCTATCCCTTCTCTATCATTTGGTTTAACTTTTCCATATCTGATGAGGATCTTTGGGTGAGGAACTTTAGCTGCGTATGATAGACTGCTAGTTGCGTATTAGTTAGTTTGAGAGATTGATTAGCTAATGGGTTTCTATTTTGATGTTCTTGTTTAGCTTTGCCTTTGTATTGTGGGTACTTTTTGTGTTTTGGCAAAGCGTGATCTACTGATCTGTTATCTAAGTGCAAAAGTCCATAACTTCAAAATTCAAACCTTTCCGTTAATAACTAATTCTATAACTTCAAACTTTCTAAACCAAGTAGAGTAAATAACTAAATATTTACGTTATTTACTTCTATTATTAACCTAATTTGGCTGCTAAAGAAAAGAGCACCTCAAGGTTTTCTCTTCACTCGGCTGAGACAAAGGTTCATTGGTCAATCGCTGAAAGCTGTTGGAGATGACTAAACGAGACCATCGTTAATCATGTTGGACACGGTAAGTCGCATACTCTCATTCACACACATGTCATTTAACTTTAATAGTAGCGAACCAGCGATGCTTGATCAGTAATATCTTTGTGTTAACGATTTCCAATATCTTTAGTTTGCGTGTTACTTTGTTTATTAAGAGAGACATGATTTGCATTATCTTTGTGTTAAATCGTGATGAGAAGAATGTTTGTTTGCCAGAACTCAGCAAACTCTACCGTGGGACCAGTTGACTACACAACTCAGCAACTTCTCGATGCTCTGAATGCTAAAGATGAGCTGGACAGTGATAGATCACAATCACCTCCATTGAATGGTCGCAAAAGAAGACTCATTCAGGTTGAAGATGATGAAGATGATGAAGTAGAGGAAATTACTCCAGAACCGATAAAGAGAAATCACTTTGAGGTTAGAGCATCTCAAACTCAAAGTATGAATAAGAGAAATCTGTTTCAGAGTAAGAAGAAAGTGGTCTCCTCTGAACCGAGAAAGAAAACAGTTGGTGTGGCTGAGTCAAGCCAAGCGACTAAGAAAAGAGGAAAATCTGTTGAGATTGAAGATGAATTAGATGAAGAAAACAGAGAAAAGACATCGGATCAGAAAGCAAAAAAGCCTAAGAAGCGGTACTCCAAAGCTTGGAATGATTTTATAGTGATTACTAAGAAAGATGGGACAGAAAGAGCTCAGTGCAAGCATTGCAAGACTGGCTATGTTGGTAAGATGATGGTCAATGCAGATTCAAAATTACAAACAAGGAGGATTGATCACTCTGTTTTCGTGTTATGGTAGCTAAGAGCATAATTCAGCATGATCTGCCTTTTGTTTATGTTGAGTACGAAAGAGTAAGAGAAATTTGGAAGTACTTGAATGTTGATGTGAAGTTTATCAGTCGCAACACAGCAGCAAAAGATGTTTACAAGTTCTATAAAGTGAGACAGCTAGCTTGAAGAGAGAGCTAGCTAATCTTCCTGGTCTGATAAGCTTCACGTCTGATCTGTGGTCGGCAATCACACATGAGGGCTACATGTGTTTGACAAAACACTACATCGATCAGAACTGGAAACTAAAGAATAAGATTCTCTCATTCTGTGTTTTTGCGCCTCCACATACAGGTATGAACTATGCGATGCAGCTTCTTCAGCAATGGGAGGATTGGGGAGTCCACAAAAAGGTGTTTTCGATCACACTAGACAATGCTTCTAGCAATGACTCAATGAATAGCATTCTGAAATCGCAATTGCTGATACGTAATGACTTGCTGTGCAACGGGGATTTCTTCCATGTTAGATGTTCAACTCATATCTTGAATCTGATTGTTCAAGATGGTCTCAAAGTCATTGGAGATTCTTTGCATAAAATCAGAGAGAGTATCAAGTATGTGACAGATTCTGAATTTTGTGAGATAATGTTTGCTAAATGTGTTGAAACTGTGAAGATTAAAACAAAGGCAGGTTTGCTGTTGGATGTTACAACAAGATGGAATTCAACATATAAGATGCTTGCTAGGGCCATGGATCATCGAGATGCTTTTAGTTATCTTCAGCAGGTGGATGGGAGAAACTTCAGGGTTAGCCCGTCAGAAGATGAATGGAATCGCCTAAAGGATTTGTGTGAATTTTGAAGCCATTTGATGAGATCACACGTCTTATGTCACGTTCGACATATCCAACTTCAAATCTTTATTTTACGCAAGTTTGGAAGATCCATAATTGGCTGGAAGTGAATGAAAGAAGCAGAGATCAAGTTGTGCGGGAAATGGTCATACCAATGCATGAGAAGTTTGACAAATACTGAGAAGAAGTGCATGATATTTTTGCAATGGCAAGCATCTTCGATCCATGACTGAAGCTTACTCTCGTAGAGTTCTGTTTTAATCAGCTTGACAAAGCATCATTTCAAAGAAAGATGGAGAACTTGCGTGCTAAGCTCAGTATGCTTTTTGAATCATATGATCCGAAGTCGATCTCACCATCTACACTGTCTCAAGAAAGTGAAGAACGAAACAATGATGATGGAGAATCTAAAGGCAGCTTTAACAACTATGATGTAAGTATATAATATAGATTTAGTCGAATAGAGATTGCTAGTATATATTGTTGCTAACTTGAAATGTTTTTGATTTCAGGATTTCCTGGCCTTTCGCAAGACACATGTTGTTGTTAGTGGAAAATCTAAGCTGGAAATGTATCTTGAAGAACCGCCTCTAGACATGGGAAGTCATGCTAGTATGGACATCTTGGAGTATTGGAAAGATAACTCGCAAAAATATGGTCAATTGGCTTCAATGGCTTGCGATTTACTCAGCATTCCTATCACAACAGTAGCTTTAGAATCATCTTTCAGCATTGGATCTCGGGTCTTGAACAAGTACAGAAGCAGGCTTCTTCCAAAAAATGTGCAAGCCTTGATCTGCAGTCGCAATTGGTTAAGAGGATTTGAAGCATATGAAAACGGTAAGAAATATACCTCTAAAGTACTAGTATTCGACAACTAAAACTGTATACCAACGTCTTTTAATTTAAATTCACTTGTGTAGAAGAGGATGAAAAGTACGATGGTGAAGAAGATCTTCCTTCTTTTTGAATCAATTTTTGATGATGAAGATGAGTGATATGCAAAACTAGTGTGTTTTTGTTGCTTTTATTATTTGGGTTTTGATATTTTAGTTTGACACTTTTTGTTGCATTTCACATTATGTGCTACTTGTTGTTCAAAATTTCAAGTTTAAGACTTTTTTTGTTTCATGAGTTAATCGTATGTTTAGCTCTAGAAGAGTGGCAAGTACTGGTTCTCATCATTTTACAGTAAAATTTCTTAAACTTGAATGCCCGTGAAACATAGCTCATTCCAACCAACACCGATGAAACTTCATGGTTTGCTATGCTGTACTGCATTGCAAACTTTGTGATCTTCTTACCCTTTCATTTACAATGAGCATCTGCGGTTTTTCATGCAGACTACACAATGCAACAAAATCAACAAAGGGTTTTACATTTCATTTGCGAAAACACTTTGTTAAGAAAAGATCAACAACGGTGTTCTAACACTGGTCTGTGATATAGTATGTTTCAATATGATTGTTATAAAGGATGTTAACAAGAATATCGTTCATTTCAACGGAGACAGAGACGGAGACGCACTTATGACACCCACACCTTTGCTCTTCAAGTAAGGTAGCAAATCGAGTAAAGTTGAATCATTTATGCTGTAATCGCAGTACGACAAGATCACATCGACAAGATCAGAATCTCCCAACCCTATAAATTTATTCTCTCTTCGCATGGTGTCCCTTTTTGAAACACGTTATTCTGCAATGAACAATATAATACTTGTAAAGTAACAGATTCTGCATTATATAAAGCTGGTAAATATCACCATATTCTATGCACAAGATATCTCAAACTCTTTTTAATTTTCCAACTTTTAACATCGATGGGAAATAACTCGAAGAGAAGCAACAAGAACCAGAAGAAGAAGGAAAAAAACATAGTGTGTGAGACAAGTGAAACAGAGACGAGTGAATAGTTAAACAATATTATCAGAAGGTTGTAATCACGCATCTCTATATATACTTAATCACGCGTCTCTGTTTCATTTGTCTCTGATGTATCGTTCCTCATCATATCAAACATCATCATCTCCGACGCGACGTGATCATCATCATCACCATGTCCCTATCTCTCGTGTTTTAACTTTTGAGAGAGAGTAGCAGTGGGAGATCAGATCACTTCTCAGAGTACATAAAGAAGGCGAAGATGAAGCTCAGATCCTCCTCCACCATCGCTCTTGCGAACCAAACTTCTGATTCTTTGAAGGTCGTCAAAGTTTATAGTTACAAAAATCGGATTGCCAATTATGTTTGATGTAGCTCGCGGACTAGCCCGAACGCCCGTTGAATAAGACCGGGGCGGGCTTAGGCCTAGAATCAGTTGTCCGCAACCTGCGGTGGGCCAATCCGCACGAACACACACAATTTCAAACCCGCTGCGGACAGGCCCATGCGGACGCGGACTGGCCCATTAACATCTCTACTTTTAGTATAACTAATTTGGGATTAGATCTATTTTAGAAAAATGAAGAATTAGACGGGGGCACGTACACGTGCCATACCATAAAAAGTAATTTTCACCAAGTACATGATAAGAAATAAAAACGAACACAGGTCTGAGGAATGTTGGTCTGATTACATACTTATTAGCACGTACTTAATCATGGTGCTCTGTCATTACTGTTGCCAGATATTAACAACATATGCTAAATCTTTATAATGAGCATGGTATTTAATCGCTGAATGAGAGATTCACCCAGCAAATATCTCAATCCCACCGTCCCACGTCAAGTATTATGCCTGACTAAAATTGGTATTATATAAATCCTCCCATTTTCAATATAGATTTATTAAAAAAAGACCTAATTAGAGCATTAAATATGAAAAACCAAAAAACGAGCAAATATAATATATGTTTAAACGAATAAATTTATAACTACTAAATTTTTTAGTAGTTTTGAAATTTAATTCTGAACATTTATCAACGTCAAAATAAGATCTATCCAACATATAATGATAGTTCCGTAATTATTATCTTATTGGTTAAAGTTGCATATCAGTTTACACTTGATATGTAAACTTTATGTTAGTTTGGATTTTGGCAAATAATCTGTCGATCTTAACCGATATTAGATTGGCGATATCACATGGAAAGTCTTTAACACACCGTGTTGCATAACCACAAAGAACAAAAACTGAATAAGTCCAAATATACTTTTCCTTTTATTCCGTTTGTGATTAAGTTATATTCACTTATATAATGGTTATTGCATATTGCATGTTACATGTAACGATTAACGATCCTTAAAACTAATATGAGTTATATACTTGACAGTTTGTAAGATCAATCATTTCATAATATACTAATATCAATCCCTCACATGAACAGCTAATCGAAATTATTATGTACATGTCGTTGCCACTCATCAATTTGCATTGAAAAGACACAAATCAATCTCAATCTTCGCCTATAAAAACCGTAACACATTCTCCTTATTCTTCACACAACACATCATCACGAGCTAGATAAAGAGAGAGTTTCTAGGGTTTTTCTCATATATTTTATAAGACAAAAATCTTATTAAACTTAACTTCTTTACCAATGGCTTATTCTAAGATTGCTATTCTCCTCATCTTCAATGTCATCTTCTTCACTTTGGTCAGCTCCACTAACGTTCCTTGCCCACCACCACCGTACAAGAAGCCCTCACCGTCGTCTCCTTACCCCACTTGTAAAAACGCTTTAAAACTTAAGGTATGTGCTAATGTCTTGGATTTGGTTAAGGTTTCTCTACCATCATCCTCCAAATGTTGCAGCCTTATCAACGGTTTAGTTGATCTTGAGGCTGCGGTCTGTCTTTGCACTGCCCTAAAGGCTAACCTCCTCGGGATCAAGCTAAATGTTCCCATTTCGTTGAGTGCTATCCTAAACCATTGTGGCAAGAAAGTTCCATCTGGTTACAAATGTGCCTAGAGATCCCATTTTGTTATATTTATCATTTGATTCCATTTACTGTATGATCAGAATTCCATGTTCTACATTTTTCTCGTTGGAATCTTTCCCTAATGTATTATTTTCTGTCTTTTCTTTATATTTTCTTATGATCTTTTCCAATTGTGTTTTTTGTTTTTATCAATGAAATAAGGTGTTTTCGTTCAGAAATAACAATCGCATCTATATTCTTTATTTATTTTTGATTAATAGATGCTTATAGTTCCTATATTTTATGTGCATTATAAAATCATGCACCATGGTAATAAAATCGAACCTGGGAGGGAATGTTGGTCTAGTTAATTAAATCTCTATTATCACGTACTTAATCATGGTATAATCTGTCATTATCGCCAGATATTAACAATTTAAAATACGCTAGTTATAACTTCTAAGTAATGAGGATGATTTTTAATCACTGAATGATATAAAATCATCAAAAAGACCAAAGCATTAAATACGAAAAGCCAAAAAGATGGTAAACATATTAATTTCAAATAAGCCAAAATATTTCAAAGGAGTCAAACCAAGTAGAAAGTCAATACCCGAACCAGCTACACTTTTCTGATTATCCGAAAACCGGTTAGACCGATAATCCGGTTCAGAAAGCAAAAGTCAACATACCTACTTCCTGGTGCGCTCTTGACTTCCTCCGTCTTCAAGTCTTAACTTAAATACTATTTTTTGACCCTCCCAAAACAAAAACAGCTAAAAACATAAACTTAATTTCCTGTTTTACCCTTACCATGAACTGACAATTACATAAACGGCTTATATGCTACGTTATTTACCAAAATAACCTCGAAGCCATAACCGAATCACCTCAGAACCTCCCTCATATATGACCGAATTCACCATTATACCCCTGACTCGGTACAACTCTGAGATTCAAAAGACTAGGAGGTTCAGGGGTAATTCGGTCACTACTCATGCTTGGACACGGCGGCGGTAGATTCGATCGCCGGGGAAATGCTGCTGGTAAGAGCGGAAGTGATCTGATTGACGACGGCGCAAAGGTGGTTGTTGATGGTTGTGACGGAGGAGAGATTGGGTTTCGCGGTTGGGACGTTGCTCGCCAAGACCTGAATCCCGACGGTGAGAAGGCACGACGGCATCGAATTGACGGAAATACCATCGACACGATCCGGTGGATTCACGGGTACGACGGAGAATCCGAGGGGCAAAAGAGGAATACCGGAGGGATCCTCGCCGTTCATCGCTTGCTGGATCGAGTCGACGTCGACGGAGGAGTAGACGATCAAGCTGCCGGAGTTATCGATGCAGCTCTCTTGAAGCATCAGCTCCACGTTATGCCATGAATTGCTCGCTACCTGTAAGTAAAACACACACACAAAATCAAAATTCGAAATTTCGCGAATCCCAAAAGATTTGAGTAGGAAAAATTTCGAAAACATGAATCTTTAAACTTACATTGATTCGTAGAAGAGAGATGCAATTTCCAGGATGTGAACCATTAGCGATATGAGCAACTTCATGAGGTGAATTCCCATTGTACAAAGCCTCCAACTTTAGCGAAAATTGAGATTCAGATTTCATCAAACATAGGATCTTACCATAGTTCAATTTTGACTAGTGTTTCAGAGTGTGTGATAAGTCTCAGGTATGAGCATCAAGAAACAGAGAGAAAAGTCTGGGTTTTGAATTTTACCAGAGAGTGGTGTTGTTGATCACGGATAAGATCGAAGACCTTAAGGTGAGAAAATGGAAGCCAAGTGGTTGAGACAGCAGCAAGAACAACACCAGTAGGCTGGCCAGGCTCACACATCTTCCTCGTCGTGATTCTCACAGTGTCCTTGGTTGTCTCAGACAGAGCAGTCCAAGATTGTCCGTACGAGGCGCTTATATTCATACAGAAAGTTTTCACCATCCTCTGTGATAGCCTCATCATGTTCCTCCTCGCTTCTGCAGATCGAATCACTGTAAAAAGAGAAAAAAGAGGTTTAGTGATTTTACAGTTTTTAAAATATGGTTTAGAATAAGATAACTAGCCTCCAAGATCGGTTATGTTTCTAGCCATAAGACTAGCCATCCTCTCGCATTGCCTCTCCAGCACGTGGAGCCAGCGGTTAGCTCCAAAAGCCATACCGCTTTTCACATACTCAGCGAAAGTCTCGTGCAGGTGCCTCTCGTCTACTTCCACGTGCTCGACCCACTTGACCTGTGAGTATCCATTAGGCATGTCTTGAATGATGCAGCCTGATGGCTTTCTCTTGTACTCGTGAGGAGTATTAGTATTCAACGGCTGGATCTGGTCGTGGAAGCTGTCGATCGGGAAATCCACGATTGCCCAGTTTCCGTTTTCCGCATTTTGTTCCACGTAACGTAGAAAGTACGCTTCTCTAGTTGGAACCAGTGGAGATAGTACTTGTAGCTCTGCATACATCTAGTGAAAACATAACAAACATAGATAGATTCCATTATCAGAAATAAGTTGTTACGTTTTTGTTTCTGCTCGTTCCAAAAATCGAATTACTAAATTCATTACCAGAAGAAGAGAACCACTAGCTCCAGAAACTCCAGATGAGATTATCTGAAGCGTTTTGGCCCTAGCCACAATTGAGCAGAACATCTCCGACCACTTATCCTACATTTTAAACATGTAAATCGATTAATCGAGAAACGGTGGCGTTTGTGAAAAAAAGCTTTACGAATACTTACAGCGTTTAGAAACGCGTCAACTAGCGTAATGCTGTTCATGATAACGACTGTGTTTGCCTTGGATGCTTCTCTACGAAAATCTCTTTTGTTGTTGTTGTGATTCTGATCTATTGGCCATGGGAACAGCCTCAAGTACTCTTCCTCGTTCAGATACAGAACCTCGCTACCGATCTTGTCGGATTTGTTCTTAACCCACAGAGGCTCTTCTGTGTTACACATTTTAGTAAGTTCTTGGACGCAAGAGACAGCGAACTCCATAGCGATAACCTTTTCTTCATCAGCAAGTAACATGTTGTTGTTGTTGTTGTTAGTTTGATCTGGGAAGAAACAAGCAGTGCCTTGTTGAGGAAGCAACATCATGTCTGGACAAGGATGTTCTGGAAAGTTTCCAGCGTATACGCTCATGTCTAGCTCCAATGAAGGTTGATGATGTTGTGGAAGCTCCTGAGGAGGATTGATCAACGGCTGAGATGATGGCATGGATTGCATCGGACGTCCAGTGTATCTTGAAGCAATGGAGCATAGACGATCAAGCTGTTTGATTAAAGACAATCAATGTGTTACACATGAAAAACACAACCAAAAGCTATGAATAATAACGATATATCTACTTGGAGTTACCTCTTCACGGAGGCGACAGTTCTCAATGTGGAGTTCGTTGAAAGGAATGTCGCCGAGGACGGTGGGGCCGCCGCAAGTAGGGCACGAGAGGCACCGTAGTTCCTCCTGAAGATGAGAATTCTCCGACTTAAGGTTATCGTTCTCTGCCCTTAACATCACATTTTCTGCTCTGTCTTGTTGTGCCTATACGTACATTGATTTATAACATCAAATAAAATATTATTCGTTCATTATAGTTAAGATAATATTATCTAATATTAATTGAATTTTAGTATAGTAACCTTCATTTGGGTACGCCTGTTTTGGAACCAAAACTTGACTTGTCGAGGCTTGAGACCAAGGTCCTGACTTAATCTCTTTCTTTGTTTGTCATCTGGATGAGGGTTTTCTTTAAACAATCTACAAAGATTTAATAGAGTCACTCTTTAAAACAAAAAGTCAAGATATACACAAAACGTTTAAGATGGTTTTCGTTTTCTAGCCTAAACAAAAAAAAAGGAATAAAAAATCACCTTTCGAAATTTAGTACTTTTTAAAACAAGAAATTCGCCAAAAAGTTTTGGATCATTCCCGGTTACAAAAATACCGATTCTAAACCGATGAGACTAGAATCAAATCTATTAATTTGGAATCCTATCATAACCGAAAATCCACAAAACTAAAAAAAAACGTATATAAACGGAAAACCTAAATATCAAGATAAAATCAAATCGACTTTAAACCTAGCAGAGCTATTTTCAACTTTAAACCTCGATTTTGTTTATATATTTTTAAGCAAAAACTAAAGTGGATAAAATGAAGAAAATAAAAAGTGGCAAAACTTACGCTTCCATTTCTTGGATCTGACGATTAGTATGTCTGTGGTAACGTTTCTTCTTAGCAGGAGGAGGTTGTTCATCGTCTTGAAGTTCATTGACATCAAATTCGTTCCCGGACTTTGGATCTTCTGCTTGTTCACTTCCCGACCCGAATGACCCACCCACCGACCCGTTTTCCATCATTTCCTCTACTGTTCCATCTCCCATCATCATCATCATACTCATCATCCCATGCTCCTCCTTCTAATTAAAACTCATTATTAAAACAATGCCTTACAAAGAAAACAAAAAAAAAGGAGATAGTTTTGACAAGGAACAAACCGGGATAATGGAGGAAAAGGAGTTGAAAGGGATGAAATTAAAATTAGGGTTTTGGATTGTTGCCGGAGAGGAAGAAGGCGGCGGCGGAGGTGAAGTCATCACATTTCCTTCTCCTATCGTCAACATCACTTGCTAAAAAGCAAAAAAAACAAAAACCTATTGATTAGAAAGATCTCAGTTAGGGTTTTGTCTTTGAAATCTGGTAGATATGAATATCCAAAAGGAAGAACAGTGCATGGAAATGCAGAAATATTTTATGAAATCTTGGAATTAATCTCAAATGCAAAACCAAAGAGAAAGAAAAGCATGAAAGATGAGATTAATTACCAGAGACGACAGCTAGATCGTTTCTTAGTTTCAGAAAATATTTAAAATTAAATACACAAAAACGTAACTGATAAAAAAACATTTATTGCTAGTGAGATCTTTAGAGAAAAAAAAATCAAGAAAAAAGTAGGCCCAACTTGTAAAAAACAATTAAGACACTATCTGAACATTCATGAGAAAATAAGGTTTTGTGTAGTTTCTGTTTGTAATATTTTTGGATCGAACTGAGCAAAAATATGTTAAAAGAGAAGAAAAAAAACATGCATTCAAAAACACACAACACAAACTAGATAATATCCACATTTTTCTATGACTTTTTTATATGGTTTCCTACAAAAAATAGAGATTTTCTTTCACTTTCTCTTGTTTTCTCTCACTTGCTTACCTTCTTTAGCTTCAAGAAAAATGAAAGAAAAGAAAAAAAGCCAAGAAAAAATCTCTCTAGACTAGAGATTTTGGAGCTTTCTCACTCTCTATCTCTCTCTCTAAGTTTTTTTTTTCTTTCTGAGTTTCTTTCCCTTTGCAATAAATGGAGGAGTAAATTTCTCATTAAATACTTACCGGACCAGAAGGGTAAACGGCAGACTTTTTATTATAAACGGCGATAATTGACGGAATGTAACGGATGTAAAAGAAACGCTCGTCTAAGTATTTCCGTTAACTGCTCCGTCTTCCCACGTGGACTTATATCATTGGGACTCCGTACGTTTTCCTCGAAAAGAGACCCCTCCCATAAGTCAAAACTTTTTAATTTTAAGTCAAACAATTATTGACCACGCGTTAACCGCGTGCGTGCTACACACTGCATTGTTCTACTATCACAAGTGTTGTCATTATTTGTTTACCAAAACCAAAAATATCCTATTCTCCGTTTTATACTTTGCGATTAGAACCTTTTTTACTTTATTCACTTATACATTTATTATGTTTAACAAATTTTAATTGATAAGTGATAAAATATAAAAAGGTTATATACATTAGTAAAAAATATTTATCAATATATACCTTAGGTTTTGTTTTTAATTTTGTGGATAATAAATGATTTTCCGATTAGAAATTGAGAGATTATGACAGTGTTGAAATAATACATTCCTAAATTTTTTTTTTATCAAAACATTAAAGGATACTTAGAAATTTAGAATAATATATTGATAATTAATTCCCCTCTAATGGCTTTTTCAGTATCGAAGTCAGATTTTTGTTTGTCTTTTTTTTTCTTTTTTTTCTCAAGTATTAGTTTTAGTTTTTTTTTATCAAATTCGATTTTGGGACTTTGATATGTTTTGATTTATCTAAAGTATTTACACATCTGTTTGGATTTTGGCATAAGCATGATTTGGGGTACCGGATCTCGTTGATTTTTAGTTTAACTTGCTCTAAATACCTTTTCTTTTTTTTGCTTCTTATTCTGCATCTACTTTTTAGATTTGGTTTCTTGTGGCTTTTCTGTTTTGGAATTATCGGACTTTTTTGTTTATTTGAATGAAAACATGTTTAGTTTTTCTTCAGTTCAATCTATCATTTTTTTTTGGAGATTCGATGCTGTCTGGTTTGGATCATCCACTTCTCACTTCTGCTTTACTGATCTGATTAAAAAATTCAAGTTTGACCAAAGAAGCGATCTATCTATATTGGGAGGATTGTTTCTTCAAAAGTATAAGAAGTATGTCTACTATTGTAGGTACAGAAATATCTTTCATTGACATTTTCAAGCTTCGGAACAAAATTATTTTGGTATCGCCAATGTATCATCAAGAAAATCTCTCATCATTAATTTGTTGCGAAAGATCATTGGTTTCTCTCTGTATTTTATTTGTCAGATCTATAGAATAATCAAACAAAGATCTATAAAACAAATTTTTAAAAAGAGAATAATATATTAAAAATACTTCGACGACAACATTGAAATATACAATCCAAACAATTACACTGTTAATTAGGAAAGGACACACTAGATGATTAGAAATTTGATAGATTTAACCTTTTCTACATTAATAAGACTAAAGATTGGAGATCTTTTAGTATCTCAGCATATTGCGTCTAGTCTAATGAAGCCAAGAGATCACAGATCCACTCAATCCACACAAAAGTGCGTTGACCTATGATTGAGTTTCAAAATCTGCTTGCAAAAAAAGAAACACCATACAAAAAAGCAACCAAACTAGAGATACCCAAAACGAAAAGCAGAGAAACAAAACCTAAAGACCGACAAACTACATAGAACCGAAGGCTCTCAAAACCAGGGGTATGAATAATCAAAACCCCCAAAATCTGAAGAACAGATTCTAGATCTATCTATATTGTGAGAATTGTTGGCATGTTGTCTTCAAAATTATAAGAAGTATGTCTACTATTGTGGGTACAAAAATATCTTTCATTGACATTTTCAAGCTTCAGAACAAGATTGTTTTGGTATCGCCAATGCATCATCAAGAAAATCCCTCATCATTAATTTGTTGTAAAAGACCACTAGTTTCTCTCTGTATTTTATTTGTCAGATCTATAGAATAATCAATCAAAGATCTATAAAACAAATTTTTAAAAAGAGAATAATATATTGAAAATACTTCTACGACAACATTGAAATATACAATCCAAACAATTACACTAAAAACATCAAATTAAAACTGTTAATTGTTAATTAGGAAAGGATACACTAGATGATTAGAAATTTGATAGATTTAACTTTTTCTACATTAATAAGCCTAAAGATAGGAGATCTTTCAGTGTCTCAGCATATTGCGTCTAGTCTAATGAAGTCAAGAGATCACAGATCCGCTCAATCCACACAAAAGTGCGTTGACCTATGATTGAGTTTCAAAATCTGCTTGCAAAAAAAGAAACACCATACAAAAAAAGCAACCAAACTAGAGATACCCAAAACGAAAAGCAGAGAAACAAAACCTAAAAACCGACAAACTACATAGAACCGAAGGCTCTCAAAACTAGGGGTATGAATAATCAAAACCCCCAAAACCTGAAGAACAGATTCTAGATCTATCTATATTGTGAGAATTGTTGTCTTGTTGTCTTCAAAAGTACAAGAAGTTTGTCTACTATTGTGGGTACAAAAATATCTTTCATTGACATTTTCAAGCTTCAGAACAAGATTGTTTTGGTATCGCCAATGTATCATCAAGAAAATTCCTCATCATTAATTTGTTGCGAAAGACCACTAATTTCTCTCTGTATTTTATTTGTCATATCTATAGAATAATCAATCAAATATCTATAAAACAAATTTTTAAAAAGAGAATAATATATTGAAAATACTTCTACGACAACATTGAAATATACAATCCAAACAATTACACTAAAAACATCAAATTAAAATCGTTAACTGTTAATTAGGAAAAGACACACTAGATGATTAGAAATTTGATAGATTTAACTTTTTCTACATTAATAAGCTTAAAGATTGGAGATTTTCCAGTGTCTCAGCATATTGCGTCTAATCTAATGAAGCCAAGAGATCACAGATCCGCTCAATACACACAAAAGTGTGTTAACCTATGATTATGTTTCAAAATCTGCTTGCAAAAAATAAACACCATACAAAAAGCAACCAAGCTAGATATACCCAAAATGAAAAGCAGAGAAACAAAACCTAAAGACCGACAAACTACATAGAACCGAAGGCTCTCAAAACCAGGGGTATGAATAATCAAAACCCCCAAAACCCGAAGAACAGATTCTAGATCTGTTCTATATAAGTAAACCTCCCCAATTTAATGAAGCCAGGAGATCATATATCCACTCAATCCACACAAATATTGCTATGACATATAATTGAGTTTTGAAATCCGCCTGCGATAAAGAAATACCACACAAAAAGACAACCAAACCATAGGTATCCAAAACAAAAAGCAGAGAAACGATCTTAAGACCGACAAATTACATAGGGCTAAAGGCCAACTCGCACACATCTCCTCACAAGCTCTCAAAACCAGGGACCTGAAGAATCAAAACCCCCAAACCGGAAGAACAGATTTCAGATGTGAAAAATTAAACTCCGGAAATCCAAAAACCAGATCAGAGGTTTAGATTAGGAAGATAGAAACAAGATCTAAAAGACAAAGACTAAACAAATCTGACTCCAGCGTTGAGGAAGCCACCATAATCAGTTGAGGAGATGACAACGCTTTTCAAAAACTAGAGATAAGGAGGAAATTTTGTAGTTTAGTTGTTTTGATTATATCTTTCAATCTATCCTTCAAAATATCTATCAAAGTATCCTTTCATATATAACTTTATGTATTTTCAAAGTTTTAATAAATTTCAAGATGACAAAAAAAAAATTATTAGAACCTTTTTCACTTTATTCACTTATACATTTATTATTTATGTTTAATGGACTTTAATTACAAAATGGTAAAATAAAAAAAAGTTATACACATTAGTAACTTTTGTATATATATAATTGACTAAAACAATCACATTCTTTTTCTCAATATATATATAATTTATAAAACAATTGCATCTTTTTATCTTAATAACGAAGAAAACAATAAATTAAAAGTTAATTTTATATCGATATCATCAAAATTGATTAACCTGAAAAATATATGTAACACAGTCTTTAAATGGTAACCAAGAGAATGAAAAGAAATAATGAATTGTCAATACATCTTTAAAATATTTACTATTTATTAATAATATTTTTTCTCTATATTTCTTCTCATTTTTACATAATCTTATTATATAAGAAATTACAAAATTGTTTTCTTCTTGTTTTCTCATGTCTTTGCTAGGATCTGTTTTCGGTTTGTTGGGGTCATGTGGTTTCTTCGGCGAATTTGAAGCAAGAGTTTCCATATTCGGTTTGGTGATGGCTTCTTCGGCGGCTCTGTTCTCAGGAGGTGTCCTGAGGAGGAGGGGCTAGGTGGAGGATCGAGTTCCAGTGGTGGTTTGTTGTTGGATCTGTTTTTCTGAAGAGTGTGTGGGTTCATTTCAGTGGATCTGCGGCCCTGGTGTGGAGCAGGCGTTTGTCACTGTTCTTCTCTTGTGCCTACCTGGTTGGTTGTTGTTTTTTTTTAGTAGTGGTGCATTCTCGCAGGCGGATTCTGAAACCCAAGCATGGGTCAGAGGGGTTTTTGAGTGGTTTTGCGGATCTGAGTCTCATGGCTTCAATAGATTGGGAGCAATATTAAATTTCTGAAAGATCTTCAAACCTTAAGCTTATTAATAGAGAGAAAGTCTATCTATTCAATTTCAGCAGCTTCAGGTGTGCTTCAGTTAATTCATTTTTTGGCTTCAATCTTGTATGTCAATTTTGTTTTCTTAGTTGGTTTTTTAGCAGAGTAAATGGCTTCAATGTTTTGGGGTCTTGTTTCTGTGATTTCCATCCCTTTGTGAAATCAATGGAAATAGATGTATTTCTCTTCTGTATTTCTTCTTGTATCACATTCTGTATCTGTTCAAGATTTAATATTATCAGATGACAAAAAAAAATATTTTCTCTAGCAACCCTTTTCCGGCTGTATTTCGGTCTTTGACAGGTTGAATAAACGAGGAATGAATTGAGATCCACAATGTGGTAGATGTGGAGCATAGAGGAAGACCATTAATCACACACTATTCGAATGCCCACCGGCACTTCAAGTGTGAGCACTTTCGGTAATACCGACACCATTTATGGGATTTCCAACGGCAACATTGTATACAAATATTGCTCATCTTTTTTGGCAGTTACCAAACTCGGAAGATATGGAAGTATTTTCATGGTTAATTTGGTATATCTGGAAAGCAAAAAATAATAAAAAAAAATACACAATCATCACGAGAGATCCTAGGAAATTTTTAAAAACTGCACAAGCAGAATCGGCAGCTTGATTTTTAGCTCAACATGATGATATGCCGGGTGACAGCATAATTAATCAGGGTGCCTATTTAGATGGTCTAAACGCGGCGACAATGGTTGATGATGGCTTGACATGTCAAACAGATGGATCATAGAAGGCAACGGTGGATAATGATGGGTTATGATGATATATTCCAGGTTTAACAAGCGAAACAACACTGATAGGGGCAAATAATGTACGACGAAGCCTCTCCCCATTACACACAAAACTAGAAGCTCTAATATGGGCGATGCCCAGCATGTTCGACGCTGGAAGGCTACGGATGGCTTTCGTCACTGACTGTTTCAAACTGGTGAAGATGGTTTCAAAACATGAGGAATGGTCGGTCTTCACTCTGCACTTGGAGGAATTTGAAACAAGCAAGAAAAATTTTACTTCCTTCTCGATCTCGCACATCCCACACGCTCAAAACACAAAAGCAGACAAGTTGGCACAGAGTGCCCGCGACTACCTTTATTCTATACACTATATAAATTCAAATCTACCGGTTTGGATTTCTCAACCGTTATGAGAAAAGAGACTGTTGACAAAAAAAAAGATACTTGCACTATTCCTGAAAAAATAATTTTTTAGATTTTATTTTTGTTTCACAAAGATAGATATTTTAAGTTTTCTATGCATTTTTTTGTTTTGAATATTATCTATATAATACTTTCTTTTTCTCTTTACATAATATAATCTTGTCAATATATATATTTTAAGTATACAGTTTTCCTTGACTTATTGCTAATTAAACCAAAATAAATTCTACCATATTTATTTATCATAAGAGCGGGTAGATGGTTGGTCTGTACATTCGTGCGTACCAACTACCTCACTGCTCTTAGGACATATAAAGATTTTAAAAAAAATTAAAATTAGAGCGTAATCGAAGTTAACAAAATGTATGCACGACAAGTTTGCATTCGAGTTTGACTTTTGTATAATTAATATTTATATCTACACACATATTTGTAAGAAAATCGAAGTATGATTTTTATATGTTAAAAGAAAATAATAAAGTATATGTTTTGTAATATATGTTTGTATAATGTATGGTTGATTTTTATTAAAAAATAATAAGTATATTTATGCATGTAGGTATGAGTTAGAAATAAGTGAATTGTAATATTTAGGTGCTGGTAAGTTTTTGTTTTGGTATTTTTCGCAAACGTTATGTTTTTTACACAATGCAGTTATTGCCTTTTAACAACAATCACGAAAACCTTTTCTATCATTTTTTATTCCATCAAAATTTCTTATTTTTTTGCGTTTGATGATATATGGTTTCTAAAATAAAAATTTATAATAAAAATTGTGAAATCATATTTAATAAAATTCTCCGGTAGCTTTATGCTCATCTCCCCGTCAAATTTTTATAATCATCAATCTGCTCGCTTCCACAAACTCTTTGTAACTGAATTTTATATAACCAATCGGATCTAAACTTATATGTGTATGATTTAAAGTGTAAAATAGTATACTTAATATTTGATTGTTATTAAAAAATTAAGAGTTGATATGTTCCTAACTTTAATATATTTGTTAATATAAAATATAATGGATCATAACATATACAAAACTTGATTCATGAAATAATGTTTTAATATGTTACAAAAATATATGCATTAAGAATTAATATGTGTAAGATAATATTTTTAAATATCTCAAATAAAAACTTAAAATCAATCAAAATTATTCTTATTTATTTTTTTGTCTTCTTTGACTCATACTTTTCCTTTACAATTAATAATCTATTAAACATTAAGATCATCTCCAATATATTTTTATATTTTTCCTCTAAAATATAAGTGGATTTCTCTCCAACCTATTTGTAATTTACAGGAAAAAAGAAGATTGTTATTTTTTCCTCTGTAATTGGAGGAAAAAATAACAACCTTTCTTTTTCCTCTAAATTAAAATAAAGGTGGGTTGAAGATGCTTTAAACAAAAGATATAGTCTGAGATTTTTAAATAAAACCAAAATCGTAAAGATTAATTTTTACTTTTAAATCTACTTTTTATTCATATATACAATATTATTACAAAAAAACGTTAGCTAACAGGATACTTATAATCTATATTTCTATCTGTTTATTTTTTATATATATATAATTTCGAATTCTTGCTATATAATGAGAATTCATTCATATATGACACAAACTTTTTTTATTTAAAAATAAGATTTATTTAGTTTTAACTTAACCAATCAAAACATTTCGTTTATTTTAGAAAATTTTCTATGTCACATTTATGAAATGGCATTGTTTTGTACTATATTTTGTTAAGGTGATGACAGATCAGATTTTTTTCATTAAACATGCTTCTCAAATAGTAGTTAAGATGGTTGTAAACTTTAAGAGGGGGGGGGGGGGGGGGGGGGGGGGTGTATGCAAAATGTAATTTGGAAAAATTTGAAAAGATTTGAGTTTTAATTAACTTTTAGATGATTTTATGTTGATTTGAGAAGTTGATATGATTTGATATTAAAATTATATGAAATTTCAGCTAAACCAATGAGATTTGGTTTGTTATATTTTTAACTAACAAACTCTACCAAATCATTTAAAAGCATTCAATATTTTCTAAAATCCACTAGTTAAAATATTTTCAATAACGATGGAGTTTATTTTATTTTTACAAATTTTTTTGATTGAATAACATGAAAGTTTAAGTGATTTTAATTGGTTTTATAGAAATTTCATGTTTAATAACATATATTTTGTTAAAACCTTTTAGAAATCATTACTTGAAAAAATAACCACAAAGTCTTTCAAAATTTTAGTTTCAATACACTTTCTAAAAGAGTAGATTGAATTCACTGAATTACTATCGATTTAAATTCATAAAAAATTATTAATTACAAAAATGATGCATATCTATAATTAAATTTTATTGTATTTTTTTAACATGTGTAAAATTTCCAAAACATCTTTCTTTTACGTTACAAATAGTTTTTTTTTCTTTTGTCAACCGTTACAAATAGTCTATATGCGGCTAAAGTAAATTTGAGAAAAGCAAAAATCTCATTAATAAAAGACGTTTCTAATTCTATGGTCAACCTCTTTTGTTTTGACGTTCATTGAGTCAAATGTAACGGTAAAGCTTTTTTGACGCATGTAATTGATATGCTGCATGTCACTGCATGTCATACGTATAATCGATTCTCGTGATAGGAAACGTTTACGTTACTTTGACTCATCAGCTCCACATTTTCCTCCTCCTTGTGTTATCTTTAAGGTAAGCTTGTCGTCCATAGCCTTCCAAAAAACTTCTTGCTCCTTATCAATAAGATCTTGCTATTGATAAGGAGCATCAGTGTAGGCTCTTAATTTGAACTTCCAATCACAATACAGTGGCCTTTCTTTGGCAAATACAATCAACATAGTCTTCTTTATCTTGAACCATCACAACAATAGTAAATAAAAGGGATTCGATTAAGTATTAACCAAAAATTATATTTTTTTTTTTCTAAAAAGGGGGAGAAAGGTATTTTAGAATACCTCATTTGGGTGGGGGATCGCTGGGTAATGGTCGGAAACACTCTCTCAGTGAAGAGAGAGACTCACCACCTCTCTCGAGAGATGGTGTTACAAAGTGCTAACTTATTCGATCGAACCCGTTTGGTGCTAGCTCACACTGCCACTTGCTCGCTAACACCACCGAGCCACTCGAACAGTTGCAGTGATGTTATCAGTTTACTCTTATTTAAGCTTTCATTTCCTTCTTTCGCACTTTGCGACGTTTCTCATCTTCAAGTCATATAAGTCGTATCGTTGGGTTGGAGAACTCTTAAAGAAAATAAAGCAACAACAAAAAAAGGTTCAAACAAATGAACTCAATAAAACAAGAAGAAACAAAATAAACAACAACAGAAGTTGGGAGAATGATTCTTATACATGTATCTCAAGGTTGTTCTGAAGCAAGAATTGGAGTAGTAGTAGACTCCTGCTTGTTTTGCGTTTGCGGTTGCGATTTAGAGAGTTTTGAATCTTGTTCTGATTGGTCTAAAGCTTTTGGTGATTCAGACAAATGAACACTAGCTACTTCATCAACGACAACAACTTTCGTCTTCTCTTCTTCTTCCTCAGCCATACCAACTCTATCTTTCGCCTTTTGTCCAACTTCTTCAGCAGCTTTACTCACTCTGTTAAACGCACCAGTAACCCAAGTGGTACCGGTTAAGATATACCGGTTTTTCATTATGGTCGAACCAGCATTGCTCACCGTCTGCTCAGCTGCAGCGATTGCGGATTTGGTTTTCTCTGTGACTTGAAATTTCTGATCAACTTCCTTCACCTTCTCGGTAACGACCGTTGTCCCGGTGTTGATTTTCTCGGTGAATCCGATTCTTTTGTCGAAAGACGTGACTCTAGCTGAAGCTATTGATGTTAGTTGATGCTTTTCATCAAGACTTTTGGCTTTAGCTATCGCGTCTTTCCCTAGAACAAACCCTTTTGAGATCATACTTCTTACAACATCTTCAGCTTTTCTAAATACAGATACATCTTCTCGAGGAGGTGATGATGATTTGTTGCTCTGTTTCGATTTCATTAAGCAGAGAATGAAAATCACACAGTGAGGTTCTTGAGTGAGTTTTTCGAGGTTCAAGAAAATGTAGTTTTAAAGGAGCTTACAATGGAATGTAGAACATCAAGAGGTAACTGATAATCCGGTGACATTGTGACCGTGACCGATGAATTAACAATCGTTGCTCCCTGAAATCAAAAATCGACAGTAAAAAAAGTGGCAATTTTAATCACTAACTAAAAAGATTGAGAGAATGTTACAGTGAGGAGAACTGCGGTTTCAGCTCCTTGTAAATCTTTGAATGTGACATATGCTAATTTGGAATCTTCATTCTCACTGCAGAAGAAACCAATCTCAAAAGAGATTTAAAAATCTGAAAACAGTTTTAATTAGAATGAAACTGTAGATCGGAAAAAGAAAAAAGAGAAACCCGACCTTTGTTGTGTCTCGAGGTAAACAATATCGCCGGAGAAAGAGAAGAATTCTTTGAGTTCTTGTTCCGTTGTTCCTAGAGAAACATTGCTAACTTTGACTGTTACCATCTGCAACATAAACAATTCAATATGATTCAAACAAGACAGAGCAAATTTTTCATCTCAGAATTGTTATAACCATTATTGTCAAATTATGAAACATCTTGCTTTACTTACGATCAAAATCATACCAATTCGAGACGAAAACGAAAATTTGTAACTGTTCAACTCACCAACATTGCGAAAAACCGCTTAAACTCTTATCTAACGGAAGATGTTATCTTTCACCAGCGACGAACGAATCTGAAACGGAAAACAAAAACAAAAAAAAAAACCAAAAATAGGAAAAATCTTTGGTCGTGGAGATGATGTGAGGAACTAAAAAGAGCGGATTCAATTTAAATACATATATTGGCACGTGTAACCGTCGGGGGTTTTCTCTCGCCGGCGACTTCATACGTGTGAAGGAAGAAAAAGGTCGTGCTTAGAGCTATTTCTTTGTCGGGGAAGATTCTAATTAGTTAATGATAATCATATGTATATTATATGTTTCAAAATTTTAATACAAAGACGTGGCATAATCACTTTATCCACCAATATATGTCCTCCAGGTGTCGAAACCTTCTCTACATTCAAACAAACAGTAACCTCATCATTGAAACTTGAAAGTCTTGCGCGAGAATGCTGATAGAGTACTTAACATACTTATTATTGACATTTTGCCCTTCAACTTATAAATAGTTCTATAATTTACCAGTCCCCAACTTGAAACACTACTACATGGAAATTAAAATGATGATATCAGTGATCAAGTAAATAACAATTGTTGAAATTTAGACTTATATAAATTTATGACAAAAGTCACCAACTTTTTTATATTATATATATATATATATATTTTTTTTTTTAAGTAAATAATCAATTAATTTTTTATATATAATTATTTTATTTTACTAATATTAATTTAGAATTGATTAAAAGATTCGACGAATATAAATTCCTAAACAAATCAACGCAGTTATTAAAACGGATTTTTTATAATAGACAAATAAAATTAAAATAGTTTTAATATTAATTATAAAAAAACAATAAAAAAATTATTTTACGCTAAATTTTAAATTTAAAACTTCAATTCCACATTTTTATTTATTTATTATTTGCTAAAAGAAACTTAACAAATGACTACTACTTTACATATGAATAATTGCAACTTCTTTAATATTTTTCATTTACCAAAATTAAACTCTATAAAATTACAAAACGAGGAGAGATGCATAAATATATGGAAATAAAAGGATCAAAAAGGAAAGAAAACATCCTCTCGCATTTCTTCTCTGTAAATCAGTTTACTGATTTTTAAAAACGCTTTTTTCAATTCTCTGTCTCTCTGTCTCCACGATTCACGCCTTGACCGTAATTTTCCATTTCTCAGCAAATCGGGAAAATTCCGATAGCTAATTTCTCCTCCTCATTGTAGATCAGACTCCGATCCCGGAAAAACGAGAGTCACTTCGGGTGATTTTTGGTGGCACTTTTCAATAAATAAAAAATTGGGGCTTTTTTTTTACGAGATTGAGAGAGAACGAAGATGAGTTTTCAGGATTTAGAAGCTGGAAAAGGAAGATCGAGGAAGATCAATGGTGGTCGACAAGATTCGACGCAAGCCGTCGCTTCCGGAATATTCCAGATCAATACCGGAGTTTCTACGTTTCAGCGGCTCGTCAACACACTCGGTACTCCCAAGGACACGCCGGAGCTCCGGGAGAAGCTGTGAGTTGAAGAAATCGAAACCCTTAATCTCGTTTTTGAATTTCGATTCTAATTGATTTGTGGGATTCGGTTTATTCGAATTGAAATTGTTAAATTGATTAGGCACAAGACACGATTGCATATTGGGCAGCTTGTGAAGGACACTTCAGCTAAACTCAAAGAAGCTAGTGAAAATGATCATCAAAGTGGTGTCAATGTAAGTAAAGTGAAACCTTTCTTCTTGTTTGGTGTTTTTTTATGTGAATCTTATTAAAATTGTTTTGTGATGATGATGATGATGATGATGATGATGATGATGATGATGATGATGATGATGTTAGTTCTTGATTGGTTCGTGTTTGTGTAGCCAAGTAAGAAGATTGCAGATGCTAAACTTGCAAAGGACTTTCAAGCTGTGTTGAAAGAGTTTCAGAAAGCTCAACAAACAGCTGCTGAAAGAGAAACAGCTTATACTCCTTTCGTGCCTCCATCCGCAACTCCTTCTAGGTAACAATTGTTCTTATGGTTTCATTTTACATTAAGCTCAATTCTGAACCAAGAGTGGGAATTGCATGTGCGGTGATCTAAAAGCAAAAGCATCACTTTTTGAAATTGCCAATGTTCTTGGTGGTTTCATGTACGTTTACAAGTGTGATGATCTTAAGCAAAAAGTTTCTCGTTATGAATTGTTAGTCATGTTTCTTATTGTCTTGGCTTCGATATAATAGCTATACAGCGAGTGAGGAAGATAAGGCCCCGGAACAGAGGGCACAAGTTATGGAGTCAAGAAGGTTGGTGATATACTGAAAATCTTTTTACACATCTCTGTTCGTTTTGTGATGCAACTTATCTTTCCTCATGATTGATTGTTGCAGACAGGAGCTTGTGTTGTTAGACAACGAGATTGCATTCAACGAGGCTGTGATCGAAGAAAGGGAGCAAGGGATACAAGAAATCCATAGTCAAATTGGCGAGGTTAACGAAATATTCAAAGATCTTGCGGTTCTGGTTAACGATCAAGGAGTCATGATAGGTATATAAAACTCAATAAGAACATGTCTTCAAATCTACAGTTATTGAACTCACTTTTTTTTTGTTTTTTCGCAGATGATATTGGTACTCACATTGACAACTCTCGAGCTGCAACTTCACAAGGAAAATCTCAGCTCGCACAAGCCGCAAAGACACAAAAATCAAACTCTTCTCTGGTAGAATCACTCAAAAACTTTTCAGACAACAGTGATTTAATAGTTTTTAGGAATCTTAGGGATTGGTTTAGGCTATACCCTAATATCTTGATCTTCTTTGCCCGCAGACATGCTTGCTCTTGGTGATATTTGGCATTGTACTCCTGATCGTGATTATCGTACTCGCAGCTTGAATTTGGAAAGCAAGAACGAGTCTTTCGAGTGTGTTCATCGATCTTAAAGCATCAAAATGAGTGGAACTACTTGGTATATAACGCAATTTGCAGTTGCAGACAACACTTAGAAGCTGGTTTTGTATTGGTTTGGTTTGGTTTGGTTTGTGAGTCTACTATTGGTTAATGTAATAGAGTGTGCGTGTGTGGTTGGTTCTTTTGTTGTGGAAACTGGAAACTTTTTTTGTTGGAGATGAGTGAAAGTCTTTTTCGCTTGTGTTTTCTGAACGTATCGATGCAAGAGATTGGTTTTAAAATTGTCTGAATGTGTGTATTGAGATTTGAGATTTGAGAGGAAACAAAAACGGTTTGCCTTTGATTTTGCTAACATGTCATAGAAATAATTGATGTTTGATTAATCAAATCACAAACCCTGTACTCTCTGTCATAAGAGTTAAATCTGATTCATGACTGCTTTGGGTTCTTACTAGACTCAACCTTTAAGCTCAAGACAGATGCCACAAGGATTGAAAACGCTGATAAAACCGCGGCCACAAACGTTAAAACGGAAACATACTCTGTATGATTTTTGATTCCGGCAGGGATCTCCCAGACAACAGACCTGGTTTCAGTCTTGGATCCGCCAATCGACAAAACAGAACATCTCCTCTCTTCATGTCCCTGGTTTGGTACGTGGCTCGAGCACAGGAACAAGTCTGGCTCTCCAAACTCCACTCTAGAGTATCCACTCTCTTCAAGAGACTGTGGAGATTAAGCAGAGAAACAATCTTTTATCGATATTGATCATACCAAGATATGCAAAAGTGTCTTTATTCAATCTGAGATCGAGTGATGATAACAGTTTTACCTGATACCGAGCATGTAAAGGAAGCTTTACGCTGATTTCGCCATTTTCATCTTCATGATCTCTAGAGCTGATTCCGACATGAATCTCAACGACAGACCTGTTTGATCTGAAGGAAGGCAGCTCGAGATTCGTGTCACCAAACACAGATACGTCACTGAAAGCTGCAAGATATTGATGAAGACTCCATATTCAGATCAAAAGGAGAAAAATCTAAAAGCATTTATCTTTTGTTTCTTTCTTCTTAAACTTAACCTTTGCGTTGCTGAAGATTCTGAAGCTCAAAAGGATCAGCAAAAACTCCCAGAGGCAAACGTTCAACAATCACGAGCTCGTGAAGCTGAGACTGTGAGTGACGGAGAAGAAGCTTGATGGATGTAAGTAGATGACGATGCGAACCTTCACCTGTTATCTCTCTCTGTTGAAGCAATGATACAGCCGGAACCACGTTTGGATCTTTAGAAGGATTCTCATCGGAACATTCTTGAAGAAGCAGGAAGTCTCGAAACTCAGAGTCGTTTAAGGAAGTGCGTGCAGTGAAGTAAGATCGCATAATGTATTGATCGGAGATGCAGAACGAAGGATTATGATCTGAGTCTTTGAAGATTTCATCAGAATCTCCGTAATTTGTTCCAACCTGTAAAGAAATTGCAATCATTCCAAAGAGTTTTAGAAACAGTTTCATCGAATTCGATCTCATCTGATCCAGTTTCTATCAAAATCATCGAATCAAAACGTGACGGAGATGATCTAACCTGACTAGTTGAGGTAGTAGGATTCAAGGAAGAAATCGCGCAGCAGATGAAAATCACGGCTATAACCGATCTCCGGCGATTGCTACCCATCGATTGATTTTCAAATTGCGAGAGAGAGAGAGAGAGAGAGAGAGAGATTAGTTCAGTCTCGATTCCATTTGTTACATCACTCTTCTTCAAGCTCTACACAGACCGTTGTTTCTGCTTATTCCGGTGAGTGTAAACGTCCGTTTACTCGCCGGGAATCTATTGGATGAGTTGCAGGTTAAATCAGCCCATCTCGCCCCAGTTTTGTTGATTTCTAAATGGGCTGGCCCAGTCCATTGAGTCCAAACTAACTTCTCGCCTCTGTTGTCGACGATAATTTAATCAAGAAAAAATTGGGGAGACCATGCGGAAGCGGAAGAACTAAAATTTCAAAAACAAATAAAAAGGAATGGAAAAAGCTTCTTTATTGTGAAAAAAAAAAAAGCTAAAGCGAAAGAGCCCACACAACCTATGAAAATTTAAAACGAAAAGACAGAGAAATCTAATTTTACAAAAGAAGAATCGAATTTAAGCTTTATAGACTTTGAAATTGAATTCTCTTCGTTATATAAAAATATGATACCTTACTCTTTTACACCTGAACTTCATTCATTCGGTAACTAGACATGTTTTCATTACTCACAAAAAAAACGAAAGAATTTGAAAAAATGAAATTACATTAGATGTTTCTTTCGAATCATCTTTAACGTAACATCGGTATGGTATGGTTCATCATTGTAATAACTTTGTTTAAAACAACTTGAAACTTTTGTGGTCGTAAATGTGTTCGTATTGTGTCTACAACGACTAAAACAAATTTCTTCTCTGTTGTCAAATATTGCTTTTTCGTATTATATATTTTCAAAGTTTAGAAGGATTTAGGATTTTGTTTTATCCCGAAATATGACTATACGTGTTTGCATTTGCATGTTTTAATGTTGCATTTGTGTGTCAGTCATCATCTAAAAATAGATTATATTTTTAGATAATATTTTTAAGGTTATCAAATGGCATATACGTACGAATTACATGATTAAAAGCAAAACGTAAATGAAATCTTGTCTTCTATTTGCTTTTAACGTTTGAATTAAACTTTTTGAAAAATACAACAAATAGTATATAACCTTTGAAGATAACATATTATTTTATCTTGTAAACCTCAATACAAAAAAAGCAAGACCTAATGGGGTATCATCTTCAATTGTCCAACGCTAAAGTTTTGGATTGGAATGAAAAACGTAGGTCCATTGTGCTGATGAAGATGATTGATCGATGCCCCCATTCACTCTTTTCCTTTCTTAAAATGTCCTTTATATAATGTGAAAATCTTTATAAAAAAATTCTCCTATAAAACTATTTAATTAATCAAAAGTAACACAGCAGGTTTGCACGCTTTGTAATCTGTAATACCTTATACAAGAAAATCCATATGTTGATTCCATCTTAACTTATACAAATATATGTTGGAGTTTAAGCAAATTTATAGTATTTTAAATTTGAATTAGGAATAAATGCCTTGTTACAATATCCATTATCTTTGTTTTTCATTGTTTTGTGTAACAATATTATTTGCGTGATTTAATTCTTATATATAACAAATTGTAGGAAAAGTGAAGCCTTTAAGGAAAGTGAGTAAATGGGTCCTCTCGTTTTAACTATTTTATTCATCTATCAGCACATTAAATTAAAAAAAAAAAAAAAAAAAAAAATCGAAACCTAACTTTGTTCATATACTTTTGAATTTTATAATTTGGCAATAGCATAATTAGCTCTGTTCTTTCTTTCTCCTCTATATATGCACTATTAATTCCTCTTGAACCAAAAATCGCAAATACCTCTCTCTCTATTTCATTTTCTCTTCCCAACAGTAATAAACAAACATTCTGATTAGATTCAAGCCAAGATCGACGTATAAAAGATGTCATCCAGCGTTCATGTTTAAAGGTTTTATATACAACTATATACACATATATATATATTGATTTGTCCTTATGCCTGGCTCCCTGTATGCCACGAGTGGATATCGATTTTGGTTGAAAAATCGGCTGCCGGTGGCGTACAAGGAGCCAAGCATAACCAATAGCAAATGGCAAACTCATTTGCATATGTAAACATGTTATATACATGTGTATAGTATGTGTACGATGTTTTATTAATTTTGATTTTACTGTTTTTGCTTTTTAGTTTGATTTTAGAATATTGATTGAAATTTTTGGATTCAGATTTAGTCGAATCATTCTTCGGTTAGTTTTTGTTCCACTATGAGATTTCTTCTTGTGTATCTTGATTAAGATTCTATACGATTTTTTAATCGATTTGTTTTGAGTTCTTGTTGTATATCTTGATTAAGATTCTATATGATTTGTAATCGATTTGTTTTGAGTTCTCATTTAAAATCAGATTGATTTGGTTTGTGCACATATTTATACTTTAGACACTTTTTCTTACATAATAAAATTTTCTTCATTTCGTGTGACTTGCGGACAGTAGTAGTTAAAACAAATGGCTTAGGAGGTAATCATACTTTTTTCTCAATGTTCTGTAGTTTTGCCGTAAAGTTCAGTTTTGAATTTTTCATTTTTGTCTATTATTTGAATTTTCTTCGATGCGCCGAACTTGCATCATTTCTTGGCGGTCAAAAGTCTTATAGAAAGAAAAAAACGTTTGAGAGGTTTTCGGTGATTGACAGTAAGCATACCAATCAATCAGAGTAATATTGTCGATTTCATATTTGGATTCTGAAAACAAATATTCGGAATTTAGGCGTTAATTAAGTTTTTTCCAAAATTTAAGTCACTTATAACGTCCTCCAATCACGGAACATTAGCAATTGATAGTGAACATGATTATTTTTAACCATTACCATAATTAGTTATTGAGTCGTGAAGGGGATATGTATGTTCCTCACTAAAGACCTTCGGTTTCGTCAAGAGTCTCAGAAGTCTTAATCGTAAAGCGAAGCCTCCAATTAGGCTAGAGGGCTTTGAGCTCTTATATCGTCTTCAACTGCAACAAACGGTGCTAAACCAGAACAACTATCGTAACCATTAAAAATTTAACCAAATATAAATCTTTTTTTCTCTAAAGCTGTTGTATCGTTCCAACACAAGTTGAAACAGTAATTCTTTTTTCACTTTATAACAAGTCAAGTGTAAGCACAGAAACTCTGCAAATTTCGTTTCATGTAAGTGAATAAATATGTTAAAAAATCATCAAAACAACGTTCCTTTAAAACTCGCAAGTAAACCATAACTGTTGCAACATTACAGTGAGTAATATCATGTTGACACAAAGACGATACAAAAGCACACAAGTATCAAAGCTAACAAGGGAGAAGAAAGAGGTTCACACTATCGTTGAAAGAAACAGCCTAAAACCGCTTTGGTTTCTTCTTCTTAGAGAAGCTTTCAGGAGTTCGGCTTTCCTGTTTACGCTTAGTCCCTGCGAATCGCTTACCGCCACTGCTCTCTTTCGAACTTTTTGCGTTTGCTTTCGCTTTTCTTGCCGCAACCGCTGGCCGCTTCGAGCTTCGCTGCTTCAGAGCACTATTGTTACTACCACCAGCTTTGTTGCCTTCATTGCTACTGCTGTTGCTACTTCTAGGTCTCATCTTTGACTGAGCAGGGCTTTTCTGATAAGGCTTCTTCTTATCATCACCGGATTTTGAAGCTCGTACACCTTGATACGAAAGATTAGCCTTCCCCGTCGTCGCAACTGGTGAGACTACTTTGTCCTTTTGATGTCTTTTCTCAGCTGGCGAGTAAGCTTCAGAAGGATTGCTCTTTCTCTTTGTCTGTGTTGCGTCAGCTTTGACTCGAGAAATACGTAATTCTCTTTCTCTAAGCTTCAAATATCCTTTCTTGATTACGAGATTTGCAGCTTCCTTCAAGTTAAACGAATCAAAGGAAGAAGAAGCATCAGATGTTAAGTAGTCCATTCCTCAAACTTCAAAAAGAAACAAAGTTCAGAGCTTTTTTCGACATACCCGTGTTTTGAACAAGACGTAAGCTATTCCTTTTCCAATGTTCAAGTGAGGATCTCTAATAACACGAACAGCTTCTATACTGTTCTCTAGGTTACTTTTACCAGTAAACAATTGATACACCTCCTCGTCCTGAGTCAGAGATAAGCAAAACATAAACTGAGATTCTGATATAATGTACTATAATCGCCATTGAACAAGAGAGCCCTAGAGATTACTACTACTAACCTTCACATCGAAAGGGAGGTTACCCATAAAGACTGTCCTCTTTGAATCATACAAATGATCATCCTGACCTTTCAGTTTCTTACGAGGCGGGCATGCTCGATCAACGCGGATATGGTTCCCATCGATCTGAAATGTAATCACAATACATTAAAACATAACTCCTTAGACTCAACCACACAGAAAAATAAGCCAAAACAAGTTATATTACCAGAGACATGTTATGTGCCAGAGAAGCTTCAGCAGATTGCTCTGTTTCAAACACAACGTACGCATGAACACTGCACTTTCAAAAAGATCAATATTAGGCTTTTTTCTTCACGGAAACTTCGAAATCAAAATCTTACAATAGAATTCAAATAAAGGGTTTTTTTTTCAAGCACAGACCTTGACGCTTTCTCATTGATTTGCTTCAACATGATAGCTCCTTTCCTCGTCTTCTTCGACTAATCAATCCAAAATCAAAACAAAATCAGAAAACATCGAACATAAAAAATGCAACCAAAATTATATAGCTAAGAAATCTGAACTTACATCGACAATGGGAACAGAACGTATCCTGACGGATTCAACTTCACCGAATTTACTAAATTCCTTCAAGATCAGCTTCTTCTTAATCTTTAAGGGCAAGTTCCCAACGAAAACGGTTCTGAGAAGCTTACTCTCATCATCAAATCCTTCCTTTGAGACCATCGTATCCGCTACTTCGTCGGCTTTCTTCCTCTTCTCACCAACCTTCTTCTCCTTCATCTCTACGGTTCCGTACATCTTCGTCTCGTACTCGTTCTCAATCTCATCTCTCTTCCTCTTCTTTCTCTTTGACTCCAACCCACTTTCTACAACATCCGAATTCGTCTCTTTATCAACACCCTCGCCGTCGAAATCAGAACCCGGAGATTTTAGGGTTTTCCCCTTTTTAGATTTCTTCGTCTTCACGAGCGAAACTGTTTCTTCTTCATCGTTATCGACATTTCTTTTATTCCCTTTGCCTTCGGGACTAGACGAATTCGGATCCTCTTTGATTTCCTCTGGTTTTGGCTCTGGTTGCTTTCGCCGGAAAGGGTTATCATTGGAGAAGAGACTCGCAAAGCCAGAGCTTTCGCCTTCAGCCGCAACGCCGGAGAAGAGAGTGGTGAAGATCCCTGATTGAGCCTGAGATTCATCGTTTTGAGATTCTTCAGCCTTCGTCTCCTTTGTTTTCTTCTTCACCATTCTCGTTCGATTTCAAAGAGAAAGAGAAAGAGAGAGAGAGAAACCCTAAAAACTTTTGGAAATTTTAACGGAGAGAGGGCAGAGCGGCGAGCGCCATAGATAACCTCTCGGGTCGGGTTAAAATATCCGACCCAACCCGTTCATTATTGGGCCATGAAAACACATCACTAATGGGCCGATGCATATTTGGTTCCATCGTATACGAATCTCGAAACCACTTGTGTTTTTGTATGAAACCATCTCATTAACCTTTGAGCTCTTATGTTAGCTTTACAAGATGCATGCAGGTTTTAAACTCTTAAGAGCACCTGCATTGCAGGTTTCTCAAATAGTCTCTCAACTTAAAAAAATAATTAAAAAAAAAGAAGAGAGAAAGTAAAATGAATCTCTCATATGAGAGACTTTCTAGAGACTTTTGATACATTTATTTTATTATAAATGATTCAATATTTTTTGTTTTCATAAAAATAATCCAAAAACTAGATTATACTAAATATAGTAATTTAATATTAAATGAAAGACTCATCACCAATGCAGATGGTCTAAATGTCTCTACCAATTATGTCACATCTCTCTAAATTCTATGAGATATGGAAGGAAATTCTATGAGATATGGAAGGAGTGTAACAACAACTATCACCAATTAGGTCTCTCTCTCATCATCATTCATCTATATTCTTCGAAAATTACTTTGTTGTGTTGTTAAAAGCAAAGCCACGTCCTCGAAAAACCTAGGCATTAATTAAGCATATGGTGATGAGAATTGGTGTCCCTATCGTCGTTTAAATGAGCTCATCTCATGTCCTACATCTTTTAGACCGTTAATTTTGCTGTTCTGATCGATCAGTTTCAGCACTTTTCTCAACCCACTCTTTTTTTTTTTTGTTCAGTCTTCCTTTTATTATATTTATGTAATTGGGTTTTATTTTTGTTTCTATATGAACTTCTATTTTTTCATGTGTTTACTTTCCCTCTTATTTTCTTGGTTATTGAATACTCTTATGCATTGCTTTTTTGTTTATCTAATATTTTTCCAACTTGTTTTTTCTTCTTCAAATTCAGTTATATGACATATTTATACAATTATAGTACAAAAAATGCATCACCACTAAGATATAGTAAAAACTAAAAACTCAACTTCGTTTTAAATAGTAGATATCATTCTGTTATTCAACTTCAACTTCGTACAAACTGATATTCTATAAATAGAAATGGAATACAATTATTTTTTCCCAATTGCGACCAGAAAACGATTTACTATTGTGGTGGTCCACTGGTGGGCCTATAATAATACTTCTCGAGTGAGTGTATTCATTACGAATGCCACGTGATCATCATATTTATATCTAATCCAACGGCTGGGAATTTATGAAGAAAAGCACAAGTGCTTAATTACAATTTGACCCCGAAAAAAACTTATCGACACATTGCAACCCCCTAACTAATTTTTGATAGCAACAAGTCCCGAAGCTGCTCTTGCTTGTAAATTCTCAATCCCATCTTCACCGTCGCTTGTAGTACCATGAGATCGTTAATCACCGAAATGCTCGCGTGATTCAGTTCTACATCCAAATCCATTAATGCATTCATCAATCTCGCTTCAGGATGATTTGTCTTGCTTCCTTCTAATCTAATCATCGCATCACAACCCAGAACCTTCACATCGATCTTCATCTCAATCCCCGACGCGTGTTCCCCACCATTACAAACGCTATAGCTCGCGTTTCTCCATCCAGCGATCTCCTCCTTGAGTTCGTTGAGCTTGATCTGCATCGCGTTTTTCTCCGATTCGTTTTTTTCCGCGTTCGATTTCAGCTCGTTGATGTAAGTAACCGCGTCTTCAAGCAACGACGCCTTGTCCAACCTCGATACGTTTGGCACAACCGCTCGTAACGCATTGAATCGCCCGTTTAGCTTCTCGCGCCTCATCCGCTCCGCTTGCACATGGTCCATCGGGTCTTCTCTGCCGTGTCCCGATCTTCTACTGCGCTTCTTTAGCCGTTTGTTTTCCGGCACCATTTTGGCATCGATGTTAGAGTGATTTGAACCGTGGAATGTTACGTCGCCGGCTGAGATATTGCCTTCTTCTTTCAGGATATGACCGGAATAAGAATTACGGTTCGGATTTTCTGACCTCCGTTTAGCATCGTCGCCGAAACCCCGTAGTTCGCCGGAACGAGCACTTGCCGATATGGAAGCCGCCGTCGAGAAATTGAAACTATTCGGGATCCGTGGGTAAACCGGACTCGGATACGGGGCCCCGGAAAAATCTCTGGATCTTTCGAAATTAAAATAGAAACGGATCTTATCAAAGAGATCCGAGTCTTGTCGGATCTGCTCCGTGGATCCAAGCTCCAACACTCCGTTATCCGATGGAATACAAACAATGGTTTGCAACCCAATATCACCTCCTTGTTTGGCCCGATTACAACCCGAGCTGATTACCTGATCCGACCCGGTAATCCAAACCGGGTTATAAGTAGCAAACGCCTTACCCGCTAACCCGGATCCGCTACCAAAGCTACACGTCATCGAAACCAAATAAAACCACTCCGTATCCATCAGTTCCACGTCATCGTCGCCGTCCGTCACCGGCAAATCTTTCCCGGCGACTATCGAGCTGAGTTCCTGGAACACCTTACTCCGGTGCACTCTCTCCGCCGTCGTTTTAGTCCTCGGGCGAGTCTTACACTCTTCGCCTCTGTAAACCCCGTCCCCCCATCGGAGCATCAATCCGCCGGAAATGTCGTTGAACAACGGTTGCCAGAAAATGGCGTAAGTCCAGGCTTGGTGGGTTCCATTTAACACAGCGTTTAACCGTTTTTGGAGGGTTGTCTCTAGGCTAAGATTCGCCGGAGATAATGGACACGAATCGGAGGAGGAGCTCAAGAGAGCTTCGATCATGGATAAGTCATCGTCGGGATTCAAGAAATTCATCGTTGCCGGTAGCGTAAAGGGTGTTTGATGTTTGAAAAGATTATTAAACCGAAAAATAATATTTGAAACAGTGTTGCATGAAAAAATTATAAGTCATATGCGCTTTGTATTTATATAACTTAAGTACAGAGGTGTAAATACAATCTAAACCTAAACAGTTTAACAGACCAAAACTTGTTTTATAAAGCCATTGTTTTTTTAAATATCGCAGAATAGGAAACCATTTTTGATGTAATAGTGTCACGTGAATAACTGGTTGTATTAGATCAGAGAATTAATTCATCATACAACCCTCTACAAAAAGAACAAATAAACCCATTTAGAATAAATAACACACCTCAAATACTCCTAGAGAGGAATGGGTCTAAAATTACCGGAAAACGGAATCGGATCAAACAATTCTGAATAATTTTTGTCAGGAGAACATTTTTGTTGTAAACTAACACATTTTTGTTGTAAAATAAAATCTATGACGGAGAGAAACATTGATAACTGTAGCACTCATTTAGTTAGAGCAAAAAAAAAACAAAAAAAAATTCCTTACTAGTTACTATGGTCTGTAAGTAACGAGACGTCAACTTCACGCATGTCCCCTCCCCAAGAAAAAATGTCGTCAATTATTGCTAATTTTTATTTTTATTTTGGGGAGGCTTTTGTGTGTGTACGTGTGCAAAACTTGATAATTGAATTGGCCATATGAAGATTTGCTATTGAATTGGACATTCAAAACTTATTCTGACGCTTGTGATATTATATGTGTCAAGTTGATGAAATTTGTTTCCAGATTTCGGCTGAGAAGGAGCAATGGAATAGGAGATGGATTTTAGTTTCTGTTTCGTCATAGTAAGAAGAACATCACACTGTAATATTGACATTTCTTTCCTTTAGGTTTTCTCCAACCGGTAATGCCTCTCTCATAATTTTTCAGTATCCAATGAGAGGATCTTGATCTTGAGCTTCACGGGTTTCCTTGTCTTCTTTTAGTGCTTTATAATACCCTGATCTTGCGATATAAATACCAAATTAGCTTGTTCTAGAGCACCTAGCTTACTCGGTTATAGCATTAGGACTTGTTCTTCGATCATAATCAGGTAGTAGCTAGGGTCAGGAGATATGAGTTCGGACAGTAACGTAGATTTTGATGTCTCAGGAGCAGGGTCCATTGGCATGAGAGTTAAGCAGATCATTGCCAATACACCGATTGATATCTTCCTTCAGTGCGATATCCCCACTCTATAGTTTTTTTGTTAAAGAAAGTTAGTTCTATGCAAGAAAGGTTTTGCTAAACTGGCTTTCTCTTACCGAAATAACGAATCAACTATTAGTCTTGTGAAAAGAAATCCATTTTGTACATAAACCCTTTTTTGTTGATTTATTCCGTTGAACATTCTAAAAAAGAAAAAAAAAAAATCATATTATCTTGAATCTATAGCCGCAGCAGATATAATTAGACAATTGCAGCCTATTGCGTTTATTTTCTTTTTTGCTTTTCTGAAAAAAAAAACTCATTTTAAAATTGGCCAATAATTGAAGATAGTTAAGGAAACCAAGAGAAGGTGTGGATGAGCATTTCACCTAGGGGTGGGCAAACGGAAATATGAGACGGGATTTTACGGGAATGGGAACGGGACGGGATTATGGAAATCAGAATAATTGTTCCATATGTGTTCCATTCAAAATTTGGGACGAGACGGGAATGGGACGGGATAGGACGGGAATGGGAGGAGAATTCCCAAAAAATCTAATAATATGAAAATTTGACAATTTTTTTAAAAAAAATTAAAATTCAATTTATATTCGTCCATTGTTCATTTTCTAAATCCTAATAAATAATAATAATATGTCATATAAAATTATAAATTAACCAAGAAACAAATGAAATCAAACTTAACTTAATTATTAAAATCTAAAAGCTTCAATTTTTTTTAGAAAAACCAACATAATCCATTGAATAGTAAACAAAAAACCACATATAGTCTATTAGTCATATATAATAAAATAAAAAATAAAATCCGACATAATCCGTTCAAATCTCAGCAGTCAGCATGCATTTAGACTATAACTTATAAGTTAGAATTTTAGAGGTGCAACTTTTAAGTTTTAACTTTCGTTTATATAAAATAATATATTAATATATAATAATGATCATTTTGGTAATATATTTTAAATATCTAATTTACTATTTATATATAATTTGGGATAATAGGACTTCGGGAATTCCCGTTCCCGTCCCGTCCCGTCCCATTCCCAAATGGAAATCAATATATTGTACCATATGGGAAGCACATTCCCATATGGTTTGGGAATTTGAGATTGGGACTGGGACGGGATGGACAAGACGAAATGGGACGGGAATTGTGTCCACCCCTAATTTCACCGATCATCACCAATGCCCACCACATACTAATTTCCAATCTTTATATACATATATATATTTATTTATTTTATTCTTCATTTATACGTGGATATTTTTCTATATAACATCTTTAAGTTTTTATCAAATATGTTGAAATAAAACTTCAGCATTATTTCTTTAAGATGTAACTTGTTTTTTTTTACAATTGTGTTGGAACGTTTGATTTCTTACTTAGCAGAAATTTATCATATCATCATAGTTTATCCATTAATTAAAAAGAGTGTATATCACCTTTTCGGTTAATATTATAGGACATTTGTAAATAATAAAAGACTAGGTGGTTGCCCGCACATATGTGCAGGTATAATTTTTTTTATATACATGGTTAATTGTAATATTTAAATGTTGATTAGTTTTTTAAAACATTGGTATGTTTGTATATATATTGTTTTAATATTTCACAAACTTCTTTCTGAAACCACTGCATTTTTAAAAACTTTATTTTTATAATGCTTGTAATAACATATGACTTTTTTGTTCAATAACCATATTTGCAAAACAATCTAAGAATATAGTCATGCTATTTGAAAAATTAGTAAACTAACCATGGCTCACAATCAATTGTCAAAAATAGTCCTATACTATATTGTATTATATACTATATTATATATCAATTTATGGAATAGCTCTATTTGATATAGTATTTTTAAAAATATTTTTTGTAAAGAGGAAGGAAGGGAAGAAGACGAGAGAGGAAGGGAGGAGAGAGAAGGGGAAGGGAAATGGAGGAAGGGAGATGAGATTATTGTAGGTGAGCAGAGGAGATTGAAGGGATAAAAGATGAAAGGAGAAGAGAAGATCGGAGGAGAAATGAATAAGGAGAAAAAAAAAAGGATAATTTTGTATATATTGTAGAATATACAAAGAATATTATAGCACCTAGTTTGTTATGGTTATTTCATTAATTTAGCTTCAAAATATGGTCATATGATCCAATTTCCCATATAAAAATTATGTTAAATAATAATTAAATTTTTATAATATTTTTTGAATATTTTTATAATATGCTTTATTTCTCCTTATACAATCTACAATATGCCTTTTGTGTCTTACATAATATGAATTTGCAAATACATATATAATATATTTTAAGTATATATAAAATTTATTTTTATTTAAAATATGATAAAAGATAAGATGAGATGGTAACATAAGTTATGTACACTTTAGAAAACAACAATAAAAAAGATGATAAAAGTTATAGAAAAATATATGGTCCTATTAATATTATAAAATAATAATTAGTATATACTTTATTGATTTAGTAAATATTGGTTTGAAAAGAAAAATTATTTAAAATTAAGTTTTTAAAAAAAAAATCAATAAAAGTTGATTATTTTTTATTAATTTTAACATTTTATCCTTTAAATTATTTTTATCATGATTGTATTTTATTTAAAATTGTATTATTTAATAATTTGTTTATTTAAAACTTGTTTAGATGTTATTAATATATTTTGTAAATTAATAACTTTCCAAAATAAAAATATATTATACTTCAAGTATTATTAATAAATAATCTATTGGATAATTTAGTATTATTTTTTCATTTTATATGAAATTATAATATATATATATTGTTGAAATTTTTTCGTAATTATATTTTATGAATTATGAATATATGTAAAAAAATTGAAATTATAATAACTTTTAATTTCTGTTAATTGAAACTTGTTAATTTTAGTGTTATAAATATAATTTAGTTTGTTCATGCTTTAATTCTACAAATTTTATAATTTTAATTCAACCAATCAAAACATTTCGTTTATTTTAGAAAGTTTGACATGTCATATTTACATGTCATCAATTAAAAGCACTAACTTTGACTGTAGTGTTGACAAATCAGCTATTTTCAATAATGTTACTTCTCAAATAATATGTAGTGGATCAGAAATGTTGAAAACTCACAAATTTTTTCAGAACAATTATTTATGACTTAAGTTTGAACATTTTTATATCTAAAGTAGTTTTCTACACTACACTACGCAGAGGAAAAAAAACAAAAAAGTTTTCAACATGCTTGAATAAGTTTGTTGTTGTCAAGATATTCAGATTGCTGTCTTGCTTCGGATTTATATGTATTGGCAAAAAAGGGTTTATTATATACACGTAACTTTTTAACATCTAGCATGCAACAATCAGCCACTTTAGGAATGAAACTGTCTTCCACATAAAAAAGGAAAGATTATAAAATTTTCCCCTTTTTTTGGGATCGTTGTAATTATGGTCCACAGTCTACACTATTACATTGTCTATATAAGGCAAATAAAATCAAAGTACCAACTACTTGGAAATTAGTAATTCAAAATATTAATTTATTAAATAATAGAGATCAAATGAAATAAGATCAAATTGTCCCCGAAACAAAGATCAGTCATCACAAAAACCACCTGGTCCACCGAAGGTAAAAGTTTGCCGATGAGACCCAAAATTTTCAAGATAACTCACATCATAACATTTACCGGCGTCCGCATCCTCGGCGACTTTGTTAGAATCAATGTCGACATTTTGATAATCTCGTGTCACATGCTTAACAAAATGCATGTAACAAGTATGCTTTAGATCCACTTCCTCCTCTAATGGTTTATTCCCGTTCCCCATAGGCGGGCTAACTATATCTTCCGGTTGCAAGTTTTCGGACTCTGCACTCGTGAATCCACCGTACCGAACTTTCTCCGCACCATCGCCCAAATACGGTAGAAGTTCCCCTGGCCAGTACCCTATGTAGTGTTTCCCGCTCGTCAGCAACCAATTCTGCGTTTTCGGGTCCTATCATTTGTGCCAATACCCGATAAAAAAAAAAAACACAAAATGTAAGTTCTTGCTGTCTATATATATTAGACTACGAGTCTAAGATATTGTGGACATCTCAGTTTTATGGAGTGTGTTAGTTCGAGATTATCGGTTTAGGATTAACACTAACCAAATTGAAACTAAATATCTGGTTTTGTTTTAATTTTGGTTTCGGTTTTCTTTATCAAATTTAAATTAAATTAAAAATAATTTAAGCTTCAACCGGGTTTTCTCAATTTTATTTTGAACTTTCTCATTGTTTTGGATCAGTTCGGTTTATCCATATCAAACAATGAGTTAATGTCAATTTGAGGATTAATATTGTTATACCTGTTTGACTGAAAAGAAGGCGTTATATTGTCGGCCTCCCACCTTAGAGATGTTCACAAAAGGGGAACCAGGAAAGTGTCTTGAGTCGATTTGAACGAAACCCTTACAATCCGTATTGTAGCATCCGTGGTCATCGTTATCTGGCTGCAACATTAGAGAAGTGAAAATCATATATATACTAAAAAGAAACAAATAAATACTCTACTTTTTGTAATAGTCTAGTTGATATGTGACATTGTTACTCACACTCCAATACGTAGTAAGTCTTGTACGATGATCGCCATATAATTGTGGAACCACCTAAAATCAAGATTAAGTATAATTAATATCATAAAGTGAGTGTATGTCATCTCCAAGGTATGAAGATAATAATGTGCAATTTTTTTATTAAAATTAGTTTTAACTATTTAAATAAAATTAAGGACCTCAATATATACACACATTTAAAACATTTTGTTAGTTCAAATAACTTCTTAGACGATAGGATTTATTTTAGAATGCACCAATACGAATTAAGTGCAATGTAGCAATCATCATTTGATTGTCGTTTATCTTTAATCTTAATATATGACAGAGAAAAATAATTGGAATTGGATTTCTTACCCCCCAACCAATTTGGATCGTGTTGCGTTCGCCATTATACTCGCTGCTGAGCCAAATCAAGGTCATGCTGAATTGGTCCTTAGTCACTTTAGGCTGATACACACCAACCCATGCTGATGCTCCACGCCATGGGGTGGCGTCTGTTTTCTGAATCAACGCTGCCTATATATATATATATATAAGACATATAGTATAAATATACACATTAAATGGTTTGATCGGATCATAATATGTAAGGAACGAAATCTAAGTGACCTCACATGTTGACCAATAGTTCCATAGCCATTAGCGTGAAAACTTTTATCGGTGGAATTGAATTTTCTTGGCTTATGGATTGGTACTTGTCCTACAGGACACCCTTCCTTTGGTACATCAAATTCTGCGACCGCTTCATCGTTAGATAAGTTTTCTGATGATGCGTCTTTGGATAGCATGGCTAAGACTTCGTCGCTTGGTCTCATCTATGCCATCACATGCAACAAAACAAGATGTATACAGAAAATAAAACGGTTATGAAATAGTTTGGGAGGTGGGAAAACAACATATTTAGAGATGTAAATGAATAAACATATACTTGGATTCGATGATTTTTGAGTCGAGGATGTTGTAGTGAAGGTTGTTTGTAGATATCAACACATTCAAATTCGAGTTCTTGAAACTGCAATATGTGAGAATTTTAAAAATGTTATCTTAATCATATAAGCAATTTTATAAGGATCAAAGTGCTTACAAAATTGTGACATACCTGATACCTCCCATTGAGGCAAAGTAATGAAAGAGAGAATATTATTAACCATGGAGAAGCCATTTGCTTACTCTTCTTCTTCTCTATGTTCAACCGCTGGTAGTGATTTCTGCAAAAATGTTCTATATATAGAAAAAGTGTATTTCCATAGTTTGGCAATATATTATATAATTATAATTACCTTTCTATTTTACTCAGTGAAAAGGACTAGAATAAAAAGGTTTAATTATTTACCAAAATTAATCAAAAGTCAAATATATTATAATTTTCTAGCTATTAAATTGTAATTTGAAAATAATTATATAAATAAATTCAAATTCAATAAAAACCTATAGAGACATTAAAAGAACTTTGATTATATTCCATAGTTTGGCAATATATTATAAAATTATAATTACCTTTCTATTTTACTCAATGAAAAGAATTAGAATAAAAATGTTTAATTATATTTCATAGTTTGGCAATATATTATAAAATTATAATTACCTTTCTATTTTACTCAATGAAAAGGACTAGAATAAAAAGGTTTAATTATGTACCAAAATTAATCAAAGGTCAAATCCCCTATAATTTTCGAGCTATTAAATTGTACTTTGAAAATAAGAAAATAAATAAATTCAAATTCAATAAAAGCCTATAGAGACATTAAAAGAACTAAGTAAATGCTGTTATGGAAAGTTGAAAGAACATTAAAAACCAAAAATAAGTAACCATAAAAGAAAAAGAAAAAACTGCTCCCATATACAACTTGTAATTGACAAAGCTCTCATTTCCTTCTATGAATAATAGCAAATACAAGAAATATTGGCTCTGATTGGTAACACTTGTGGACTGGTAGAATGGTGAAAAAACCCAAAAACGTAAGAATTTTGCCAATCAAAAAAACCTGCGGAAAAACGCAAAAACGCAAAATCTGCAGAATTGCGCTTTTGCTTACAGAAAATACAAAAAAATCTTCATTAAGCAGAAAAGCGTGTTTGGAGTAGATTATTTGCGGAATCAATGTTTATATTATTCAATTATATTTTATTATTTAAATAAATACAAATAAATAATTTAGTGTTACAAAAAATTATTTAATGAGAAAGTTATATCTATTATTTAAGGTTTGTAATATTTTTTTTATGAAAACAAATTATTAAAAAGTTACAATTAAAATTATATCATCTTATAATAATTGATTGAATTATTAATATTTTATTTTATATAATATATAGTAAAAAGCAGAATATTTTCAATAAGTATATTCTGCAATTCCGTAATTCCACCATAATTTATCCAATCGTAAAAAAAGTTTTGTAATTCCACAATAAATTATTCCACAATTCATTTTTTCCGCTATTCCGCAATATAAAAAATGGGTTACCAATCAGAGATACGTAAATAGGCTTTCACAAGGTCTAAAACTTATCAAAACGCCTTCTAAAACTCTACAATTGTAATTTCACTCGTAATGTCACCTCTACAAACCGAAAATTTTGGCTTATATACTTTCTAACAACTTGTAAGTTATAAAGCTGACGAGAACTTTATTGTTATAAAACGGAGCTCTGGTAAAGATTCTTCGGTTAACTTGAACAAAACCTGAGCAATTTACATTTTAACATTCTTTGTGGTTTGATTCCCTTTGAAAAACGTTAAATATATAATCAACTTGGTAGATTTTCTTATGAAAGATTATCTTATAATGTATATGTCCGAACATTGTTTAAAGTTATAAGAAGTGAATAAATGAATCATCACACTCTAAAGACTGTAGGTAGTCGTGGTCCATCGTCACCAGATTTGATAAATCCTAGTAGTATAGATTTGTCGTATAGACTTATCTCGCTTAGTTGTAAATCCTTATCTCTTTACGACTATTATAGGTAAAACCCATGTATTATAAACAGAGACATCTTGTCACAAAGTTTAAAACTTGATGAGACTAGTCTTAAAGCTTGAGCTAAACATAATCATCATGGTGTCAGAACAACAAAAAATCAACATCCATCTCGTTTGATTTTGATTCCAAGACATACACAATTTCATTTCATTTCCTTTCCTTTCTCTTTGACTTTATTGGAATCCTTACTCTGCTTCCTTCTTTTGTTCTATGTACATTGTGTTTGACGTTGGACAAAGTCTTCATCAGATTATGTTCGGTTTAGCGCAGCTTACATGCATGTCGCTCTTCGTACACCAATAAGGACGTTGGCGATTTTTCCACCTAACGCAGGTAACATCACATGTTGTAGTTTTTGGATTTGTGGAAATGCACATTCAAACTTTAGCAATTTGGTTGAGCTGGTTAGTTCAAATGTTAAATTGTGTAATCCAAAATCCTAATTAAGTTGTGTTGTATAATCCAAAAACCAAAATGAAACCCAAACTAAACCTTAAACAAAAAAAATCAAACATAACCAAAGTAAACTCCGGTTCCCTTTAAACCCATTTCAAAACCCAAAATGATTGAACTAGAAAAATTATCAATCTAGTATTTCTTTGATAACTCTCTCTAGACAGCTTTAAATGGTAAAAATACCAACTTTTTTTACAGTCATCTCCAGTTATTATGAAAAGAAAAAAAGGAAAAAAAATCTCAAAATATCTAATTCGAACTTCAGAGTTTGAGTCCTGCACCAGCCACTGAAAACAAGACAAAACCTCATCTTCACTTTTCACCAACCACTGAAAAAAAGACATTTTTAAAACGAAATTTAAATAGGAAAAAAAAGAAAGAAAAAACCTCTGTCTCTGCAAAGCTCCATCCTTTGTGGTGGCGGAGAGAGCAGTTTGAGTGATTAAAACTTTTATGTCCACTTGAAAAGTTGTTTTTTTTTTTCTCGTTTTGGATTTTATCTGATATCACTCGTTTGTGTCTCAGATTCCATCCCGTGAATTCGCATCTGGATTTGTTTTTTTTTTATTAGAGAAGCTCTCTGAGATCCACTCGATATCGATTGCCTTTCCTTTAACCAATCCCTGGTAAGCAAAAACCTAATCACTTTCGATCTGATTTTCACTCATTGTATTTGGGTTGCATCAAACGCACAGCAATTTAATATCTTTTTTAGAATCTGAGTTTGTACTGAATCCTCCGATTTGGGAATGATTCGATTGCATTAGAGTTGAGGGGGATCATAAGTTTCCAACTTTCTCGGTAATCAAAAATCAAACTTTATGAGGATAGAATCCCCAAGTGGTTTATGTTCTGATTACACAACTCAATCTTTAAATGATTCTGACAAAAAAGTTTTGATTTTGGTTGGTTGTCAAAACTTTAGTTGAGCTGGTTAGCTCAAAAAGTTGAAATCTTGAAAGATTCTTCATTAACAAAAGTTTTAATAATGGTTGATATTCAGGAAATCTTGCTGATTTAAATAGTTAGCTCAAAAGCTTGATCTTATAGGAATCTTCATTAGCAAAAAGTTTTCATTTTGGTTCATTTTGTTGTTGTTGTTTCTTGGAGATGGCGGATGCGGCGAAGGATTTAGCTTCAGGGACTGTTGGAGGAGCGGCTCAGCTTATCGTAGGCCATCCGTTTGACACAATCAAGGTCAAACTTCAGAGCCAACCGGCTCCAACACCGGGACAACCGCCAAGGTTCACCGGCGCGATCGATGCGGTGAAACAGACCGTTGCTGCTGAAGGACCTAAAGGTTTGTACAAAGGTATGGGAGCTCCTCTTGCAACCGTTGCTGCCTTCAACGCGGTTCTCTTCACCGTGAGAGGTCAGATGGAAGGGCTTCTTAGGTCTGAAGCTGGAGTTCCCTTGACCATTAGCCAACAGTTTGTGTGCGGCGCAGGCGCTGGTTTCGCTGTCGCGTTCCTTGCTTGTCCCACCGAGCTTATCAAATGCAGGTCAGGTTCTTTTGAAATCTTGCTAAGTAAAATTTAGTTTCTTGATCAAAAATGTTATATGGCTCTTATCTGTATGTGACTTTAGTTTCTTGATGAAAGTTTGATTGTATCTTTATGTGTTCCGATCTTGTTTTACTATCAGGTTGCAAGCACAAGGTGGTGCGTTAGCAGGAACCTCGACCACAGGCTCAGTGGTTGCAGCGGTGAAATACGGTGGACCGATGGACGTAGCACGTCATGTCCTACGATCAGAAGGCGGAGCAAGAGGTCTGTTCAAAGGTTTGTTACCGACATTCGCGCGTGAAGTCCCCGGAAACGCAACAATGTTTGCAGCATACGAAGGTTTCAAGCGGTTCTTGGCCGGTGGTTCAGATACTTCGAGCTTAGGACAAGGGTCACTGATCATGGCTGGTGGAGTCGCTGGTGCATCGTTTTGGGGGATTGTTTACCCGACTGATGTGGTGAAGAGTGTTCTTCAAGTTGACGATTATAAGAACCCTAAGTACTCGGGTTCGATGGATGCTTTTAGGAAGATTCTGAAAGCTGAAGGAGTTAAAGGTTTGTATAAAGGGTTTGGTCCAGCCATGGCTAGGAGTGTTCCTGCTAATGCTGCTTGCTTCTTGGCTTATGAGATGACCAGATCAAGCTTGGGTTAAACCGGTTTGGTTTGGTTCTTAACTGTTCGTCCGATTTGTGGATGTTCCATTGATTAATCTTTGGGGTTGATTCTTTAAAGTTTCAGCAAACTTTATGTATCTCCTTTACACAGTTTATTTTTGAGAGTTGAAAGTGGTTATTAAGACCGGTTTAACAGATATAAAATTACGAGTCAACATTTTTCACCAAATGGAATTCAACCGAACCAAAATGTTTTCGGTTTGATTCAGTTGTAGTTCTTTTGGAACCAAAAAAAGCTAATCGACTGTAACCGGATATATATATCGAATTAACAGTATCGAACTAAGATTTTCTGTTATGAAAAAAAGCTAAACTGAACCAAAATATTCCCGGCTAAAACTGTTTTACTGAAACTAACTAACTAACTAAACCAAACCAAATCCTGAAAAAGGTAAAATGTCAATTCCTAATTTTTTCTTTATTTACTAATTACTATGCCCAGTTGCCCAATGCCCACCCGAGTTAAAAAAAAAAAAAGAGAATTAGAAAATTAGTCTAAAGTTTCAATAAAATCAAGAAAATAATATTTTTAAATTCAACAAATTTGACTAAACCTAAATTTTAAAATCCTAAAACTATAGAAATTATAAATTTTAATTCCTAACTTCCAAAAGTTATGTTTAGCTAAATTTTATTTTTCTAAATGATATATTTACTTTATCACAAATCATTCTTTTTTCCGTAAAAACCTCAATTACATTTTTACTTGATACGGTTTATAATGGGCTGGGCCATTAAAAGACATATTAGCCCATTGGAGATACGTCACGTGGCGGGTAACTAACTAGCGTATGACTAGTGCTGCACAATATCGAGTGTTAACAGGAAAAAAAGGAGGGAACGAATAACCACTTTCTCCTTTTTCTTCTTACATTTTTTATTATTTATATAACTTTTTTTCACTATAAAAACCAAAATCTAATATCATAGTTCGAGGAAAAAAAAAATAACAAGTTTAATGGAGACGATGGAGCAACAAAGACATTCACTCTCTTCTATGCCTATGCTCTCTAGGCTTGATCACTTGGATTTCGTTGTAAATTTTGTGTTTCTTATCTAAAATATAGAATGTAATGATGATGAATTTTCTCTCGATCATATTCATTCTAGCTAATATTTGTTTTGTGTTTCTTGTAGATAAAGAATTTAGAAAAACAACAAAACCTTCCGAAATGGAAAGACGAACACGCATCGATTACCACACGCGGATTAATCGATAGAGGCACTGCGATTAGAGAAGCTTACTTCAAAGGATCGCTATTAGATAGAATAGCGGCTTTAGAGACGAGACTTTTTCAGGTAGGGTTTCGTTTTTGATTTCATGTGAATGTAATGTTTTAAGGTTGTTTTTCATAATGTTTTTACGTTTTTTGTATAATGTTTAAAAGATATGTTTGGAGTTGGAATCGAGCAGTGCATCTTCTACTTCAACTGGAGGGTCCGGTGAAACATCAAGCCAAAGGATTAAGAGAGATTTGACAAAGACATTACCCATTTTCAGTAGCAACATTAATCCTTTTCATATCCCCTTGCAACATCCACAAGACCCTCGGGTATATATATATATATATATATATATATATTTAGTTTTTTATATTTTTATATATCTATAACTAGTTAATGTGGTTAAACATATTATTATTACATATAGGAAATGGAAACAAAGATTGAAGAAGAGAAAGAGGAAGAGATGAATATCGAGAAACCATTACTGGAGAAGAAGAATAAGAAGATAAAGGATGCTAATGAAACTTGCAAACCAAAGAAGAAGAAGACAAAATCTCCCAAGAAATGGTCTCGATTTAACTTATTGGGATGCTAGATTCATTTTTTTGTTTAATGTTTGGACTATGCAGTATTTCATGTTTCGTTTAAACCTAAGTTTTCCTTCGTAACAAATCTGCGATATTTTATCCGTCAAATTTAGGACTACTCATTTTTCTGCTTAACCTAATTTTGACGTGATCGTAGCAAACAAATGGATTAATGAGTTTCGTCGATTCAGTAAACATATTTATCTAGTGTATTTTCCTATAATGCAGATTTTTTTTTTTAATCTAGGAGTCGGAATTACAAATTTGTAGTAATTGACATAAACAAGGTATTTACCCGCGCTACGCTGCTGGATATTTTTTCTAAATTTGTATATATTTTCAATATAATAAAATTATTTCTATAATGTAAATGAGTATTATATTTATTTTTTATTAGCTTAAGTTATGTATTTATATGTTTTAAATCTGAATAAAAATTATATATAATTAATTTTTTATTTTTTTTAAATTATAATCTACTATCAAATTTGTTTAGCTAACTATCTATAAATGTATATATAAGAATAAAACAATACATTTTTAAGTACTTTTATGCTAATGTAAATGTAATTTATTTTCTCTACTAAATTGCTACTTGATCCTCTTTTGAAATTATATAAAGCAAATTGTCATTTAAAAAATATTAATTAATATGATTATTTTAAACTATAAAATTTATTTGTTTATCAAATATTTATTATAGACATATGATTCTAAAACTACCAAACTATAATCAATAACATTCATATCAAAATCATTACTATTACTTTAGAACTAAATAGAAAGTTCTATTTGAACTGTTGAAATATCAATTTAGTTGAAGTTAAATAATTCATTTTTGGTTACTATAAACATATTGTAACTTTGAAAATTAGCACAGAGAAATTTTATCATTTTATAAAAATTGAGAAATTGCATTTTCCGACAAAACAAAAAAAATATATTTTCCCACAAAACTGAGAAATCGTCTATTCCCGCCAAAACCAAAAAAAATTATTTTCTCGTCAAACCTGAAATTTCATTTTCCTACCAAAACAAAGAAATTACATTTTCCTTCAAAAACCAAAAAATCACATTTTTCCGCGAGAACCTGTGTTTTTCCGTCAAAACAGAGAAATCAAGTTTTTTCACCAAAACAAAAAATTTCATCTTCCTGCAAAAACAAAAAAAAATGGTATTTTCCCGTCAAAACCAAAAAGATATTTTTACGCAAAAATCGTTTATTCCCACCAAAACAAGAAAAAAATATTTTTCTCGTCAAATCAAGAATCACGTCTTCCTACCAAAACCGATAAACTACAATTTTCCGCAAAAACCAAAAATTGTATTATCTCATGAGAAATTGTGTTTCCCGCAAAAACTAAGAAATCATATTTTCCCTTGAAAACCAAAAAATCAAATTATATGTGAAAAACTAAAAATTTGCATTTCCCATCAAAACCAAGAAATTGTTTATTCTCACCAAAATCGAGAAATTTTACTTTTCTATCAACCCGAAAAATTGTATTTTCTGGCAAAATTGTCAAATTATATTTTTTCGCAAAAATCAAGAAATTACATTATCCATCAAAAGCCAAAAAATTGCATTTTCTATCAAAACCGAGAAATCGTTTTTTTCGTCAAAATTGAAAAGTTGCATTTCCCTCGCATGTTCTCGTTAAAATCAAATTTTTAATTTCTCACCAAAACCAAAAATTCACATTTTTCCGCCAAACCCGAAAATTCGTTTTTTTCCACCATAACCGAAAAACTATGTTTTCCTACCAAAACTGAAAATCACATTTTTCTACTAAAATCAATAAATTATCTATTTCCGCCAAACCCAAGAAAATTTGTTCTCGGTAACCAGTGGAAATGTAAATCTCCAAGCTGTGGTGGTCTGAGTTTCTCCTCATTTGCTTTCGCTTTCCATTTTTCTTTGTAAATTTTGGGCTTTTTAATGGGTCAGCAAAATAGTAAATTTATTTTATTAGTGTATTAATAATATGTATTATTGTTATGTTTTTATTAGTTCAAATTTTTGCTGATGTGTGAGCTTCTTATAACATAACATTTTTTGCATTGTTGTTTTGGAAGCATAGTTGATGATGAGTCTACACTTTCTTCAATCATATACGTATTTATCAAGCAAACACATAGGTAAAATTTAAATTTTTTTTTGCTGTTATTTATTATTTGAGTTTTGGTTTGGCAAAAATATAAAACAAAAATTTAATTTTATTATTTGTTGTTATTTATTATTTGGGTTTGGCAAAAAAATAAAACAAATTTTTTTTATTTGCTGTTATTTATTATTTGGGCTTGACTTAACCAAAAAATAAAACTAAAATTAACAATAAAAATATTTAGATTTTTAATGGGTTTAAATTTAAAAATTAAATATATTGATGACTTGTATTAATGAAATGTTTTTATTAGTGTTTTTTTTGTTGAAGTGTCATCTCCTAAAAGCTTAAAATGATGATGTATCAAGCCATGAAGAGACTTATGGATTATTGTTGTGTTGATTGATTATGTTTAACTCTATAAGTATACACATATATGCTCTAGTGTTCTATTTAATATAACTCCAACTAGTGCAAGCCAAAATGTACTATAAAATGAGCACCTTATAGGATGTACTACAAAGTAACTACCCCCCAAAAAAATACAAATGTGTGGCTACAGATTTTATAAGTGTAACTGTATATCCCACTACTTAGTTTTTTATATTATTTACATGTATATTCCATTATAACTTGGTCAGTGGATTCTTAAAATATAAATGTAATATATATATATATATATAACTTTTAAACAGAATTTTAGAATAAAAAAATTCGCAATGATCAGAATCAATAATATTCGATAAAATGGACTTTCTGATGATCCTTTTATTATATTTACAATGCTAAAAGAATATATAGTAATCTATTCATAATTATATGAATCATATTTTCTAACTTTAACTTTAGAAAAGTTGATGTTATCAAGTAATTTAAATCATGACAGTTTGAGTCAGCTCCATTTCATTGTCTACCACAATATGTTCTTCTTCTCATCCAAATTTTTAAATACAGGAAAATGCATGTAGCGTAATACAGTTTGCAGAGAAATCAATTTTGAAATATATATAGAGGAAACGTTTTTGGTATAATGATAGATTGATCATAATGTATTTCTATACTAATTTCGGACTTCAATATTTGAAGAAATGTCGATTACGTATTATTTCAAGAGTTTTGGGGGTTGTAGAAAACGGAATAGATAGAAAATACGATCTCCCATATGAAAAATCGATGTGTGTATAATATGGTGTAAGATGATATATCATTTATATATATATATATATGTTAGTGATGGGTTTAGTATCCCTTGCTAAAATCCTTCATAAATTGAGACAAGGCCCACTTGAAGTTCTACCTCCATTTCCGAGTTTAGGTCGGTGCTCAAATATGGAAATATCCGAAGATATATTCGTATCGCGGAAGAAAAGGAAAGAAGATTCCGAGAAGAAAGGAAACTATCCTAATCCCGAAGGAGAAGGATTATTCTCAAGGCGGTCTACAGAGGCTATATAAGAAGAGCCCCCTCCCTCGAAGATGATTCATTCACAACTTCGGACTTGAGACCTAGGGCAATTAATAGCTTATTGCTTCCAGTTCTAGATCTCGATTCTTTACTCACTAAACTTAGGTCGGCGTTCTTTTCCGACGACCTAAAACCCCTTGTACACTTCGAGCTCCGGCTAATAATAAAAACAACTTTATCTTTTCCCCCACAAATCTTTATATTTTCTTTAGAGGAGATATCCAGATCTTACAATTGGCGCCGTCTGTGGGGAACAAAAGATACAAGTTCGTCTACTCACGCCGGAACTCGAAGATGTCCACGGAGAAGCGATCCACCGACAATACCACCGACGATACGATCATCCAACCACCCGCCCAAAATCAGGTCGGGAACAACCCCAGGATACCGCAGACCGGATTAGGCTCTACCCCTCTAGAGCCCGATAGCAGTTCAAACGTCCAACAGCACGGGACGACCGACGAGACTCACCTTCCGCCAGCCCGGAGCTCCCTCAACACAACGAACACTCTCCCGCCCCCTCCACCTCCACCCGCGCCGACGGACATTACCGCCATCCTACAGTCGTTCATGGCGCAGATGGACAACAAACTGAACGACCAGATTGGGGCTCTCAAAGCTCAGCAGGTCGCGTACCTGGAGACACTACGAGAGTCCCGACCCAAGTCTCTACCAGACGTAGACGACACCGAGACCGGCACTCCCAGAGCCATCCACATACCCCCGGGCACCACAGCGTCGGAGCCAAACGCCTAATCTTCGGCGAAACATCCACCCCAGCACGGGGTAGCGACCACCAGCACGTGAAGGACTCCAGCGCGCGATCTAAGCACAAATCCCGCCTGTCCGCCCCGAACACAACCTCCCACGAGACCCCCGAACAAGCCGAGCTCACCCGGCTCCACCAGAAGATCAACGAAATTAAGTCGCAAGTTCATCATGCAACCAGCTCGGCCCCCGAGCTCGAACAAGTCTTGAAGCTCACCCAATAGACACCGTTCGCTCAGTGCATCACCCGCGTACCCCTACGCGACACCGTGAAACTCAAACTCCCAGCGTCGTTTGTCGGCAACACAAACCCACAAAAATATCTCATGGCCTTCAATAACGCTATGAACCGTGCACGATTCTCACCCGAGGAACACGACGCTTCCCTCTGCCAGTAGTTCGTGGAGTCCCTGGCCGGCAACGCACTTCAGTGGTTCTCCAAACTCCGACCATACTCCATCGAGACGTTCGCCCAGCTCTCCCTGGAGTTTCTCCGACACTACTCCATGTACATCGAGCGAGGAGGAAATACCTCCGACCTCTGGACCTGCATCCAAGGAGAGAAGGAAACCCTCCGGGACTACATCGGCCGATTCCGCACAGTCGTTTCTCGATGCGACCCGACAGATAAAAACGCCATAATCGCCCTCAAGCTCAATCTTCGCAAAAACTAGAAGTTCTACGACAAAATCGCGACCGGCAAAGACCAATCCCTCGACGAACTCCTACATAAAGCCACCAAATTCATGAATCTGGAGGATACACAAGCCAGGGAAGATGAAAAACTCG